CTCTCCCATGTGCATGGTGAGGGGTGGGGCCTGTTCTCCCTTTATCTAGGCCTGCAAGGGGCGGGTGTGTGTGTGTGGGGGGGGTGGGAGTGGGGAGGGGGTGTGGGGGGAGGAGCCGCTCTTCTTAGCCCACATCCTGGAGCCAGCTATCCCATGGTCCCTGGTGGTAAGATCAACACAGATGCAGTAGGGACAGGGGACCCAGACATGACCCTCAGGTGAGGCTGGGTTTCCTTTTAATCTAGTCACAGAATGTCATATTTCAGACATCAGTAAAACAAATTCAGAACACTGAAAACAAACCTTGCTAGCCAGGTGGTAGTTGGGCGGTAGTGGTGCACACCTTTAGTCCAAGCACTCTGGGGGCAGAGGCAGGCGGATCTCTGTGAGTTCAAGGCCAGCCTGATCTACAGAGCTGGTTACAAAGAGAAACACTATCTTGGAAACAAACAAACAAAAACCTTGTTTTGCTATTCATTAGCCAAACAGAAGGTAAAGTCGAACTGTTTTTTTAAAATTTATTATTATTATTATTTATTATTATTATTATTTTTCTGGGCAGTGGTGGTGCATACTTTTAATCCCAGCACTTGGAAGTCAGAGGCACAAAGATCTCTGAGTTCAAGGCCAGCCTGGTCTACAGAGCAAGTTCCAGAATAGCCAGGACTACACAGAGAAACCCTGTTTCACTAAAAAAAAAAAAAAAAAGTTTTTTAACTCACAAAATTTATTGTTCAAGGCCAGCCTGGTCTACATAGTAAGACCCATTTCAAAAAAATGAATCACAATTTATTTATTGTGTATGTGTGTGGAAATACACATGTGGAAGTCAGAGGACAATTTGTTGGGGAAAGTTGGTTCTCTCCTTTCATCCTGTGGGTCCCGAGGACAGAACTCAGCTTTCCATTCCTGGTTTGGTAGCAAGCACTTTTACCTGCTGAGCCATCTTTCTGGCCTTTAACCTTTGCTTTTTACAATGTTTTTAGATTTATGTGTATGAGTGTTTTGCCTGCATGTATGTATGTGTACAACATACGTGCCTGGTACCCAAGGAGTAATGGATGGTTTGTGAGTATGAAGTGAGAAAAAAACATTTGCTAAATCCTGAGCCATCCTTGGGCTAAAACTGAAGCCAGCCTGACTGACATACTCAGGCATGTATGGCACTTGGAGGAACTTTTGCTAACCTGCATTGTTTTGCTCGTGCAACCAGAAGGCTTTCTGCCCCCTTCCCTGATCAAACAGAAATACCATGGTGACACAACTGTGCCCTGTTCTTATTAAAAATTAATAGCCTGTCATGCTTGCTAAGAGCCATCGAGGCTATATCAACAGGATGTACCAAACTCGTGGTTTTTACCTTATAAACCCTCTGCTTGGCCGGGCTGTGGTGGCGCACAACTTTAATCCCAGCACTCCAGGGGTGGGCAGATCCCGAGTTTGAGGCGAACCTGGTTTAGGTTGGAGTTCCTAGAGCAAGTTCCAGGACAGCCAGAGCTGCATAGTGAGATCCTGCCTCAAAAAACCAACTAACCAACCAACCAATCAACAACAACAACAACAACAAAAAAGACTAAGTGATCTAAAGGGGAAAATAAAATCACCCCCTGTTCACTCAGCTTGGGGTCACCCCTAGACTTGTAGTTACAAGAGTGCATGCCCCCAGCTGGGTCTGTGTGGCTCAATAAAAATTTCAGATTCATCAAGACTCATCCTGGTCTCCTTCTCTTGGGTGAGAATAGGCTGATTACAAGTTGGGAACCAAACTAGGGTCCTCTGCAAGAGCAGTAGGTATTCTCAACTTGAGCCAACTCTCCAGCTCCCACCTTTAACTGTTTTTAAACTAACCTCATGGCAGACCTCAGTATTTAATGGAGATTCAGGTGACATTGTATGTGTTTTTGTTTTCTAGCTTTGTGTGTACTTTTTGTGACCTTGGCCTAGGCTGGCCTAGAACTCACCCTGATCATGTTCATCCTGCCTCAGCTTCCCAAGTGGTGGGTGGAATTATATGGAATTATAGATATGAGCCACCACACCCACCCAGCTGTTTTTTATGTTTTTGTTTTTCAAGACAGGGTTTCTCCATATAACAGTCCTGGCTGTCCTGGAACTCGCTCTGTAGACCGGGCTGGTCTCAAACTCAGAGATCCGTCTGCCTGTCTCCCGGGTGCTGGATTAAAGGCATGTGTCACCATGGCCCAGCCCATCCAGCTTTCTTTTAGTCCATTCTGTACTTAAAAAGCAAATGGTGGCTCAGAGGGTAAAAGCACTTGCTGCCAAGTCTGACAACCTGAGTTCAGTTCCTAAGATCCACATGGTATTGAGAGAACTGACTTTCATAAATCCCTGAAGATGTTCTCTGACCTTAACGAGTTCACAGTAGCAAGCACATACCTCTCCCCCATCATACACTGTAATCAACGTCAGCTTTTTTTGTTTTGAGACAGGGTCTATTAAATAGCTCTGGCTTTCCAGGAACGCACTTTGTAGACTAGGTTGGTTTCAGCATCATAGAGATCCACCAGCTTCTGCCTCCTGAGTGCTGGGTGAGATTAAAAGTGTCTATCAACACGAAGGCTTCTACCACCCCTTTATTACAACAGGGTCTCTGGCTGACCCATAGGCTAGGCTGACTAGCCAGGGAGTCGCAGAGCTATGCCTATCTTTACCTACCCAGTGCTGGGATTACAAGTGCGGGTTCTGCCATTTAGCTCAAGACCTAGTGCTTGCAGCCAGCACTGTGCTGCCTGAGCCATTTTCCCAGCCTGCAATTCTGTACCTGTGGGCCCCGGCCCCCGACTGTGAGTGGCTGCCTCCTTGCTTGCTGACCTTGACCAGATGTCCTCCCTATTTAGATTCCCTGCCAGTCTCCTTCTCACCTAAGGAGAGACCCACCTAAGGATCACCGGTGAGCTCGGAGAGCTCACCGGAGGTTCTTTGTTCCTGTATCCCGCACTTGGTGTAAACAACTTAGATGCAAGAATGTAGAACATTCAGTAGCAGGTAGCGAACTTCTGCCCTCCAGGGATCATCTATTGTGCTGTAAGACTGTATTTTAGGTTTCTTCCCTCTTTCAATAAACGGCATTCAGCTGTGGCGAATGACTCGTTGTCTCTTATCTCTATTTTTAATCCGCAGCCCTTCGCTCGGACATGGTGAACGGGTATCGGTAATGCGAGCGTTACCGCTATATGTACCTTTATGAATCTAGTGTCTCCTTTTCTCTGGGTACAAGATAGAACCTCGAGTCCAAGATAGAACATCCATCTAAAATCTCTCCTGAGCTCCTAAGTTGGTTATTCAATGCCCCAATGGTTGGGAAAGGAATGGATGAGAACACAGCAGTGAGAACGGCAAGCAACCAGGTGGATTCTCATCAAAGGTCCCTGAAAGTGGTTCGTTCTCCTCTTCACTGTGTCTCTGACTTGGTGAGACACGCTGTGTTCTGAAGCACTAAGGAGCAGTCAGGTACTATTGGCCCTCAGCTGAAGTGATTCCCATCCCACTCTTCCCAAGTTTTGTACATTTAAAAGGAATGTCTTTTTAAAATGTGCCTGAAATGTTTTGTTATGTTTCAATTTCTAGAATGAAGATGGCTTAGTGGTACAGTGATAGCTTGCCTAATACATGGCAGGCTCTAGGCCCAGCCCAGCAAAAGAAAACAAACAAACAAACCAAAACCTACCTCAAAGTCAAACATAATGGCTCATTACAACTACAGAATTACTCAGGCTGGAGAGATGACTCAGTGGTTAAGAGCATTGCCTGCTCTTTCAGAGGACCCAGGTTCAACTCCCAGCAACCACATGGTAGCTCATAACAAAGTCTAGTGGGATCTGATGCCTTCTTCTGGCATAAAGTTGTACATGCAGATAAAGCACTCATACATAAATAAAAATCTTTTTTAAAAGTATGGAATTATTCTCAGAATGTGCATGTATCATATAATGTGATTTGTGTTTACACTATGGTCTCACTCCCAAGATCTCACATATGCAAGGAACTCCCGAGCCCCTGATGTTGAGCACTTCTTGTCCCAAATACTTAGCTAAAAGATTATAAAATTCACAGAGAAATGGTCAAATCAGTTTCCCAAAAGGCAAGAATTTTGTATTTTATTTGGTTTTATATAGTTCTGATAGGGTCTTTCAGTACAGGATGGCCTCAAATTTAGTAGTGAAGGTGACCTTGAACTGCTGATCCTACCCTTAGTGGTAGGTAGGTTCATAGGCATATACTATTATACTTTGCTGCACATACCATTATACTAGGCCCCAATTTTTCTTAAAAAAAAAAAAGTGGCCGGGCAGTGGTGGTGCACGCCTTTAATCCTAGCACTCGAGAGGCAGAGACAGGTGGATCTTCTCTGCGAGTTCGAGGCCAGCCTGGGACACAGAGTGAGTTCCAGGACAGGCTCCAAAGATACACAGAGAAACCCTATCTCGAAAAACAAAACAAAAAAAGGGGAGAAAATCATATATACCTGACACTTTGGAGGCTGTGACAAAAGGTCATAGTTTGAGGTCACCTTGGTTACAAACTAAATTCCAGACCAGCCTGAGCTGGTGTTTCAGTAAAAATCAAATGTGAGGAATATTTGAAATGCCTTTCTTCAGCAGTAATCCTTGAAGTATTCCAACTTTGGAGAAGCATCAACAGGTTTTGCAGAAGTCAAATGTACTTTTTCAGTCACTGAAAAGTTACAGATGAAATGCTAAAGAGAATTTTTACACTAACTTAACCCCTCAAAACAGGGAACTTCTCAGATTTAAAATCAAGACCCAATGTTCAGCTGCTTAGACATGAATACATACTGGATCTATAAATGACCCATTATAAACATTTCTCTTAAAAAATTCAAGGGCCAGGAATGTGGCTCAGTGATATAGCACTTGTCTATATATTTGAGGCCCTGCATTCCACCCCCAGCAATACAGGGGGGAAATGGGCTTTAGAACTTAGAAACACTGTTTCAATAAATAAAAGAAAAACCAAAATTTAATTTATAAAGTTTTATTTTTGTATATGTGCTAGATCTTACGAACTGTGGACAATCTTTTATGTCAGTCTGTTGGCTTGTAAAAGGCTAAGAAGTATGTGAGATTTGGGTGGTGAAATTTCCTTTTGGGAACCCCAATTCCAAAATAAAAAAAAAAATTGCACTCATTAGTGACTTTAAAATGTGGTTCACCTTCCCCCCACTTACACCTGTAAGTTTGGAGGACAAGTGCTACATACTTCTGCAAACACAAAATAATAGTTAAAAATACAATCGGCAGCAAGTTCTTAATACATTCAGCACTTCTTTAGTGATTTATCACACCCAAAACCTTATTTTCAATATGCAACACTCAAGTAGGTGCAGGACCAATTCTGGGTGGTCCCTGCGATGAAACCAGTACTGAGAACGGTTTTGTTGCTAACACAAAGCTGGGGTAAAGGGGTGCTGTTTTCCTCTATCAGCAGTCTGCATGTCCTCGTACCTTCAAACTAGAAATCAAAACTGGGCACTTATCACAAAAAGGCAATTTTCTAAAATTCTAAATAAGGCAGGATATAGCCACCAAATCAACCACAAAATTTGACAAAGTAAAATAGTCCATGGGAGAACATAACCTGGAAAAATACTAATAAAAACCCAAAGAACTATTCCAAAGTAGTCACCTGAATATTCACAGACTGTTGCTTTCCTTTACAAAAGTAATTCAAATAAAAAAGGCTCCTCATCTTTTTAACCAATATGAGGATTAAAGACTTAAGTTGTTATTGTTCACTAATAAAAGTTAATCATGAAAATAGAAAACATTTGAATAATTCTAGGTCTGTATAATTATAGCTGAGACAAAAAAGCTGGGAAATCATCACTGAGAAAAATCAATGAAAAGAAACAAAGCCCAAATATGATTATGTTTGTATTTCTGCCTCTGTGATGCTGAACATGATAATTCGGTTGGTGGAGGGAGGGCTTAGAAACAGCAGCAATATGGTGTTTACCAAGTTGTACACGGAAATACTTAGATCTGACTGGGCAAAGCCCCAGTTCACACAGTTTTACAATTAAAATCTCTTCAGTCTTTACGTTAACAGATTCTACTGTCTTCAATAGAGTAATCATGCCATTTAGAAACGTGGGAGTATTTCAAAGGAAGACTAGTGATTCTGCAACAAACATTTAAAGGAGGAAACATATGGCTCAAAAGAATCAGTTGAGAGAATCAAATAATTTTTAGGCACTTTAAGACTTGAAATTTAAAACGTGCCATTTATGTTTTAGAGAAAGACCTCAAAATCACCACTATGTTGCTCTTACAATAACATGCATCTTAAAATTTCCGGTTATACATTAATGCTTAAAGAGTTAAATGTAGAAAATAATTTGCACAAACAAACAAAAATAACTCTGTTCACTTTCCCTCACTCGTGGTCACAACACAGACCAGCTCTTTCTCAAATGGAGGGAAACATGACTCATAAGCCCTCATTAGGAACTGGTGGGCTTATACACTCAAAGCAACTAATGGGGAGGGGGAATCCCTCCAAGACAAAAAATTCACAGCCTTTGAGAATGTCAAGTTTTCTCTTATCTAGGAAGTCACTAAGTTTTATGTATTTCATAATTTTGTTAAGGAGCAGAAAATATCAAAATTGTCTGTCAGATGGTAAGATAATGTAACTAGTACCAGTTACTTGTCCAAACAAAGCTAACCTACTCCACTACTTGAGGAACTTTGAAAACTTCCAGTTGGAAAGGCAAACACTGTACAACCTTTGCTCAAACTTCAATTCAGGCTGGAGGTGCAGCTCAGTGGTAGAGCACTTGCCTGGAGTGCTTGAGGCCCTGGATCCCCAGCTCCACAAAAACTGAAACAAAAGCCAATTCTGAAGTAAACAGAATCTATCTAGTGTCAAAAGTTGCTAAAATTACAGGAAGCCTAGAAGCAGGATTATGGAATACTGCAAATAAGATACCAAAGCTATATCTTAAATACTGCCCCTTTTAAATCACAAAATAAAAATGCTCAATTTTGCTTCTGCTTTGACCAGTGCCAATGATAGCCTTTCAACATTTTCCTATCAACTGAAATGTAAAAAATACAACCAAGCTTGTGCTCATTAAATACACATGTATATAAAAAAATACAAAAAGTGTAAGATTGATTGTTAGGGGAACTTTTATAGCATCAACTTCCTGTTTTCCAAGTCCTTTTAGTAAAGAGCCAATCTTTCTGTGCATAATATATGCAGTCTTTAAAAAAAAAAACAAGAGAGAAGGTACCAAAACCACCAAACACACCACAGGACAAAAAGTTCTTCTTAAATCAAATTCTATTTGCGAATTCAGCAAAATAATTTCTATAAAATAAAACAGCAAAATATTTAAATAGGGTGGGTTGTATCTGTTTGCAGGGGTATTTGGTTTTAGACAGTTTCCGAAAATTATACACATTCAAGTCACCAATTCTCTTTGAAATACAGTATTAACTGATGAATTCTTTTATCTTCATTCAAATTGTTTATTCTAAAATTGTGATACCTCAATTATATTAACTACCAGTAATCTTTTATTTTTAAATTAGACCCTGCTTTGAACATTAAAATTTTTGGAATGGAAAAGGAGCTAGGACAATTCTTGCTTTCAAGTAAAATTATGACTGAGCAGAGAATCAGTCAGACATCTTGGTGCAGAGGTAATCCAAAGACTGTGGGGTTCTGACTTCTGCATCATTGGGGTCCAGCAGAAGGAAAGTTTGAGAAGAGTCACTTAGTAAGCTCTACCAAAGAACAAAACAAGCACACCAAATACAGTTTTCTACTAGGCTCCAGCCAGCATCCTGGCATAGCAAATTTTTGCATATTTGTTTTAAATCTTTCAAAATTCCCACCACTAAATCGATAAATTTAAGTGTTCTTTATCCCACCCAGAGATCTGCACTGTCAAACACAAGAAGGAACATGTGTGCAACTGAGAACTGCTCGCTTGCCACAGTTCTCCCCTCAGCCTGTAGTTTATAGTCTAGGGTTGAAGAAGGAAAGCTCCGAGCAATGCAGCCTCCACGTCAGGACAACTGCAGTCATTATGGTAATATTTCCTCATTGGCTACACTACCTTGTGTGAAGCCATGCTAAATGTTACAGCATATCTATAGCTTCAAAGTGATTAACCTAACATCAGAATAAAAAGGCAATGAAAAAGATCTAGAAACATAGTACATCACCAATTTTCCACATCAACCAAATAATTAAAAGGTAACCAGCCTTACATTGCTCATAGTAAAATTGACTCCAGTGGCAAAGAATGAACATGAAACTACTGGTGTGACATGAATGGGCTCTTTTGTTGCTGTTGGTTTACTTTTTGTTTTTGTAAAGGAGGTGATCCAACTGCCACAAGGTAGGCAACACTGGCTGCAGAGTGCAGTGGGTATAACAAGAAAATTAATGTAGTTTTTGTAGATCTGTGAGTCTCATCAAGGAAAGAAAAAGTTTCTTGCTTAAGAATTAACAGTCAAACATTAATATACTATATACACCTTTGCCATTTACACATTAGCATCAGGCCATTTATTACAAAACACTATACACTTTCCACTGCAGGCGGGTTATATATTGACAGCATATTTCTGCAGGTAAGACAGTGAATAAACTCTCCACTCCATGTTGATTAGGAATAGTTTTTCTAGTTTTAAATATTAGCCAGACACAGAAAAAAGTTGGACTGTAAGGCCTGGGTGCACAGTCTTGATGGAACCAGTTAATATGTGCATTTCACTGATCCTTGGTCTGAGGTGGGGACACTTCTTCACTGCCTTCATAATTTTCTTGTGCTCGTTGGCCAGTTCTCTGAGGGTTATTCATGTGATGTGCTGCTGGGCCTGTATATGGCTGTCCATGCACATGGTTATTCTGAAAGGTAAAAGAAATGTGTGCATTACAATTTTTCCATGGCTGGAGAAATGGATCAGAGGTTAAGACTATGTACTGGTCATACAGAGGACCTGAGTGTGGTTCCTAGTACCCATGCCAAGTGGCTTATAACTGGCCTAACTCCGGCTACAGGGTCTGACACCTGAGTCTGCAACTGACACTCACTTGCATATACACACAATACCATAATTAAATGTGGCAAAATAAATCTAGGAAAAAGTCAACCTTTTTCCAACAGCAATCACACTTTAAAACCATGAGTTGAAATTGTTGGGAATGTAAACATTTATTTTATTCTTAGGACTTACTTCTAAATACACTTGCCTAATAACAAAAACTGGTTGAAAAAGAAAAATCTTACAGGCAAATACAAACCTCAGGACCCTAAAGACCAAGCAAGTGATTGGGTAGGTATGTAAAAATCTTTGTCCAAAGTGATTTTTTTTTAGTGTCAAATATGTATATTTAGGGACTAGAGACAGCTCAGTGGTTAAGAGCACCGGCTGCTCTTCTTGCAAAGGAACTAGATTTGATTCCCAGCACTCACATAGTGGATCACCACCACCTTTAACTATAGTCCTAGGGCTTCCAGTTCACTTTATACACGCAAACAAAACACTAATACACATAAAATAAGAAAAAATATAATCCTATTATTAGTATATGTGTAGGTATGTATATCATAATGTGATGTGAAGGTCAGAGGACAGCTTGAAGGAGTTATTTTCTCCTTTTACTATAATGGTTGGTCCTAGGGACTGAACTCAGATGGGGCTTGTATGGTAAGCACCTTTACCCACTGACTCATTTTGCTAGCCCAGTGCCAAACATTTAGGTGTGTGTAAGCCTGACAAATTAAAATACCGCATTACTGTTCTTGGTTTAGTTTTCAAAGAATGATGTGAGGGCTAGCCTACATGAACACTGACTCTTTCACAGGATAAACCTGATTGACCATGACCTGAAATCCATAGGTGCAACTGCTTATGCAGACAAAATTATTAATGTTAATTATTAATGCTACTGAGATCACAACAAGGCTGAAGAAAAAGTAACTAGGCTAGATTAAAATATAGGCTGATCGGGCTGGAGAGATGGCTCAGAGGTCAAGAGCACTGACTGATCTTCCAGAGGACCTGAGTTCAATTCCCAGCAACCACATGGTGGCTCACAACCATCTATAATGAGATCTGGTGCCCTCTTCTGGCCTGCAGTCATACATGCTGTATACATAATAAATAAATCTTAAAAAAAAAAAATATAGGCTGATCAGCCGGGCAGCGGTGGCACATGACTTTAATCCCAGCACTTGGGAGGCAGAGGCTGGTGGATCTCTGAGTTCGAGGCCACCCTGGGCTACCAAGTGAGCAAGTGAGTTCCAGGAAAAGGCACAAAGCTACACAGAGAAACCCTGTCTCCAAAAACCAAAAACCAAAACCAAACAAACAAAAAAATATAGGCTGATCAAAGTAACTTCTGTGCTGGTTCCTGAATTTTTTTTAAAGGCTAGGGACTAGTTGTGTATGTAGCCCTGGCTGGCCCTGAAGCTCACTATGTTGCCTTTCCTTTAATGCCAGCACTCAGGAGGCAAGCAGATGTCTGAGTTAGAGATCAGCCTGGTCTATAGAGCAAGTTCTAGGATAGCCAGGGAAACACAGAAATCCAGTCTTGAAAAACAAAAATAAAAAATAAAATAAAATTAAAAAAGAAAAGAAACTTACTATGTCAGCCAGGCTGTTTCTGTCAGGATTAGACTGTCAACAGATCTCAAGCCCTCACCCCTCCAAAGACAGGGTCTTAATACGTAGTCCTGGCTTGTCTCAAACTCAAGAGATCTGCCCATCTCTGTCTCCTGAGTGCTGGGGTTAAAGGTAAGTCCGACACTCTTGAGTTCTAGCACTCTGTACCATGCCAGGAAGCCAGTGTCCATCTGTATACTACTGCCATTTGATTTGGCCTCATCTACATTTTAGGAATGTCCCCATTTAGGACATTATTTCTTTACCCACTTTTGTAATTTGACAGTTAATCACCTGTAGAAACATGCCAAATTCCCCATAATTTTTACTGCCAATGAAATCCCAGGCTAAGCAACATTAATTCACTGCCATATCTTTGTGTTTTCAGAATCCACTAGCAGACTGAGCAATGATTATTATTTTATGCTGAGAAGAATCATGCAGTTTTTACCCACTCTATTCTAGCATAAGACATATCTATTTGGTAAGGGAACGACATCACTGGGGCAAATTAAATTTGCACCATGACCCCACTCCAACCATTCTTTTGATCATGTACCCCAAGTTAGTTTAGATAATCTCTGAGTTTACAGTCATGGTAAAAAGCCATCCTTTACAAGTAAGAATGAGATTGGTTCCAGAGCAGTGGTTCTCAATCTCTGGGTTGCAACCTCTGGGGATGGTCTGAATTACCTTCTCACAGGGGTCACATATCAGATTTCCTGCATATCAGATATTTAAATTATGATTCATAACAGTAGCAAAATCACAGTTATTAAGTAGCAATGAAAGTAATTTTATAGTTGGGGGTCACTACAACATGAACTGTATTTAAGGGTCACAGCATTAGGAAAGTTGAGAACCACTGTAGAGGTTAACCCCACTATCTGATTCCTGTTTACCTGCTGATACTGAGATCCAGGGGAATGGGGGTATAATGGGGCATCTTCCGGCGGAGGTGACTCATGCTCATCTGGGGCATCTTGGTCATCTGGTTCCTAATTTAAAAAAAATAATAATAATGCAGGCATCATCAAACTCACTGCCAACTCTTGTTGATTTAGCAACAACTTTTAAAAACTGTTTATTACTCCTGCAACCTAAGGCTCAGGGAACCTTCCCAACCACTGAGGGGGCAGAAGCTTATAAAGAGCCAGAGGAACAGGACGTCTGCTGTGAGACTGTCTCCTAGAAATGCCAGGGAAGCCACATACATACATGGCTGCCTAAACAAGGATACCAATAGATGTACTAACATGGAAGGAGGAAATGTCATGAGATTTCAAGCCTAGACAGAGAATTAAAGGTAAACAAAGAATGCTTAAAGCAGGAAAATTATATCCCCCAGGTAGAGTCCCCCAATTACTTATCCAATACCAAATGGTCAGCCCTAAAATAATAAACATTTAAGTAACTTTATATACACTGAGCAGGTTATTTGTAGATTTAGGAATATAGACATATGTAACAACATTTAAAGAAAAAGAAGTCACGAATCTAAGACAAAACAAGGGGGTGCATATGGGAGTAACTAAAAGGGGAAAATAATGTGGTTATATTTTAATTTGAAAATATTTACCTTCACATGTGCTATGGTTCATATGCACACACATACAGAATAAAGGAATGATGTTAAAGGGGGTGGGGGAATGGAGCTGGAGAGACGGCTCAGAGGTAAAGAGCACTTGCTGCTCTTCTAGAGGACCCAAGTTCAAGTCCTAATACCCAAATTGCAGCTCACAATAATCTGTTAAACTCCAGTTCCAGGAGATCTAACATCCTTTCTTCTAGCCTCCATGGGCACCAGGAAGGCACATTGTGCACAGACATATATACAGACAAAGTACCCATACACATAAAGGTTTACAAAATAATTAAAAGCTCCTAATTTGTATTCTCTTAGAAATGCATTTCTGAGGTTATAGCACAGTAATTTCTCTAGGAGGTATCCTCATTAACATAACATGTCACTAATATTAAAGCAAGCACAACTCTAGCAAAGCCTTTAAGAAACAACACTGTCATTAATACACAACCAGTGGCCTAAAGAATTACTTTGCTTTCTTCCATTTCTATCTCTTGTAGACTGGTGGCTTTTTTTACCTCCTCAGGACAGAGTTCACAAGCTTTTGCAAGTGTCATCCTAGCACTATGTGATCTCTCCAAGAAATAGCCATTTGATGTTTCATTGCTTTGCACTGGGGGAGACCAATTGTTGTAAGTGTATTGAGGATTGCCAGTGTATGGTCTTCTTTCGAGTTCATCTCCAAGCCATTCCACTGCCCAGGTCCATTTCCTTTTAAGATCTCCATTGCCCTTTAAAAGTAAAACCATATACACATATAAGAGGATTTGGAGTATCCCAAAAAACACTTAAAATGATAATCACCCCACAAATTCAGGATTCTGTTCTTTTTTTTCCCCCCCCTTGAAATGGAGTCTTGCTATGTAGCCCTGGCTGTTGTTGAACCTGTTGTCCTCCTCTTTCCTTAGCCTTGAATATTGGGGTTATAGATAGATACCCACCATACCATACCTGGATTAAAACAAGATTTCATTCATTCATTCATTCATTCATTCATTCATTTAAGTTTTTTCAAAACAGGGTTTCCTTCTTCAGTCCTTGCTGTCCTGGAACTCATTTTGTAGACCAGGCTAGACTCGAACTCAGAGATCCACCTGCCTCTGCTTCCTAAGTGCATATGCCACCACCACCCAGCTAAAACAAGATCTTAATGTCATTTTTTTCTTTCTTATTGTTTGTGGTGCTGGGGATTTAACTCCAAGGCTTTGTACATTCTGGGTAAACAGTATTCCTTAAAAGGCCTTAAACAGTATACTTTAAAGGCCTTAGCCCTTTAAAATAGCATCTGATTCAAATTTCTATGAAATTGTAAGAAAACACTCACCTGCAAGATCTGGTAAGCAACAGGACAACTGCTAAAGAGAGCTACCATACACTTGATACATTGGTATGCTCGTTTTTGATAGTGATTCTTAGAACGCTGGATTGTGTCAAACAGCCCGTCTCGGTCATCTGGAATTCCTTTAAGGGCATTATGAATTCTGAAAAACAATCAGAAGATAAAAACTTCTAAAATCTAATAGAAGCTAACATTTATTGAGTGTCTATTACATGTCACCCAGTCAATGTCTGTGAGTTCAGTTGTTTCATACTGGACAATACATACTACTATTAAATTTTGGAGAAGATGACAAAATTAACAGCTTGCCTAGGGTCAAACAGTTGCCAACAAGTCTGAGTCAAGTCTGTGCCCTAATAAACTTTACTTGTTCAAATTGCTTTTCTTAGAATGTTTAAATATATCACCAGAAGCAAAGTTAGGACACTCAAGAATAACACAAACTTAAAAAAGTTAACAAGCAAGTTCACAAACAATGTAGTAGAGAATAATGTGCTTTATTTTTGTCTTTTATTTTGACAAAGGGTCTCATTATGCAGCACAGAATGGCTTTGACCTCTCAATCTGACTGTCACAGCCTCCCAACTGCTGAGATTACATGCTTATGCCACCATGCCCAGTGCCTGTTTATTTTGTGTTAGGCATTACCTGCCAATCAATAAACAAAATATGACATACCTGTAAGACTAAGTATATAATTCAGCCATAAAAAGAAAATACCAGTATATAGTATAATGTAAATGAATCTTGCAAACATTACAATGAAGGAAAACAATTAGACACAAAATGCTCAATGTTATAATTCCATTTTGGCAAACTACTAATAGGCAAACTATAGAAGAAAGAAGATTAATGGTTGCTGAGGCTGGCAGAAGCAAGAGTATCTAAATGGCTTCTTGCTGCTTGATCTAAGATACTATACAGAAATTCTACTCAGTTTTTTTTTTTTGTTTTTTTGAGGGGAGTGGTGCTGAGGGTGAGGGCCAGCCTAACTCACGTTAGATTAAATGCTCTGTCATTAAGCTATTACCACCCTTATTGACATAAACTGCTGAAACATCACTTTATACACTAACTATAAGGTTATACATTTTCTATTTTTTGAGAAAGGATCTTGCTATGTGGTCTTGGCTGGCTCAGAACATAAAGGGATCTATCTACCTGCCTCTGCATTAGAGTGCTGGGATTAAAGGTCCATATATGCCATTACTTAATAAAAGCTATATAATCTTAAACACTGTTTTAAAAAGGAAAATACTAGAACCTAGACTACATTAAAATTATCTCAGGAGTGGAGTATCAATGGTGACAGCTTTAACATTAGCATCTAAGAAAACTGGTTCTTTGCTTACTGCTATTTCTGTAACAGGAATCTGAAGCATACAATGTTAAAAAAAAGATCAAATTTGTAAATTCTGGTATCTGCAAACTCCACTAAGACTAAACATTGGCAATTTTTTAAAAGGTTTAAATTATTTTATGTGTAGGTGTAGTGTATGAGTGTTTTCCCTGCGCGTACACATATGCATCACTTATGAGCCTGGTGCCTTTAGGAATCAGAAGAGGGTGTCAGATCCCAGAGAACTGGAGTTACAGAGGGTTTTGAGCAACTATGTGGGTGTTAGGAACTGAATCTGGGTCATCTCAAAAAGATAGTTAAGTCATCTCTACAGCCCCAAGAATGGATAATTTTAAAAATCAGTACTTAAAGTGCGTTGTTAGCTGTCTGTGATCATGTGCAAAATAGCAAATAATTCAAGTTGACCAGAACTGGCACTTTCCTAGCAGAAGCTGAATAAAGTGACTGCCTTGTTTGAGTTTCAAACTATGAAGAAGTACCCTCTTTTGCTGTTTTAAATGGCCTTCAAGTATAGCACTGAAGTGCTTTAGTGCTGCCTAGTGTTTCTAAGCTGTGATGTATCTTACACAAAATGTGTATTAGAGAAGCTCACATAAGGTGTGAGGTATAAGCTGTTGGTTATAAGTTCAATGTTAGATTTAGCAGTATATATAAATTTTTTTGTTTTGTTTTTCAAGACAGGGCTTCTCTGTGTAGTTTTGGTACCTGTCCTGGATCTTGCTCTGTAGACCAGGCTGGCCTTGAACTCACAGAGATCCACCTGCCTCTGCCTCCCGAGTGCTGTGATTAAAGGCCTGTGCCACCACTGCCTGGTTATATATATATTTTTTAAAAAGATTTATTTATTTATTTATTATACATACAATGTTCTGTCTGCATGTGTCCCTGTAGGCCAGAAGAGGGCACCATATCTCATTACTGGTGGTCATGAGCCACCATATGGTTGCTGGGAATTGAATTCAGGACCTTGGGAAGAGCAGTCAGTGCTCTTAATGGCTGAGCCATCTCTCTAGCCCAAGTATATATTTATTAAGATAACCAAATACACATTCGTGTGTGTGTGTGTGTGTGTGTGTGTGTGTACACACACGACAGTGGACAGCTGGAGAGAATTGGTTTTCCCTTTAACCATGGCCACCATGGCCAAACTCAGGTCATCAGGCAGAAACAAGTACCCTTACCTACTGAGTCATTTTGCTATTCCACCTAAGGTGTTTTTTGAGACAAGGTGTCCCTGCATCCCTGGCTAGCATGAAACTCAGAGATCTGCTTGCCTCTGCCTCCCACGAACTCATATGTATATCAAAGTCTATTGATGGTTTGTTTTCTTTTATTAAAAAACAATTCAGAGCCGGGCGGCGGTGGCGCACGCCTTTAATCCCAGCACTCGGGAGGCAGAGGTAGGTGGATCTCTGTGAGGTCAAGGCCAGCCTGGGATAGAGAGTGAGTTCCAGGAAAGGCCCTAAAGCTACATAGAGAAACCCTGTCCCAAACCAAAACAATTCAGTTGAATGATGTTAAAAGGGTATTTACCTGTGAGTCTGCCAGGAGTCTTCAATCAGTAAGATTTGTAAAAGCAGATCCAAATAGGGCCGGAGTTCATAAGTATAAGAATATGCAACCTAGAAATAGGTAAGACACAGTGAATAATGGATAAATGGACAACAAATCAAGTAATAGTGATTTAGCAATGGTTATGTTTTTTTTTAACCTGCCAAAGAAGTTCACTGAGGACGGTAGATGAGAATTGAGGATTCTCCCAGCAGCAAAAGCGAAGCAATTTGACGGTCTCATCAGAGTTACTGCAGTCTTCGATAATTTTCTTCACATAACTTGTTCTCACAAATAAAATGTCTACCACATTTTGTTGAATTGGCATTATAGGTTGTGATAAATTAGGATCACCAAAAGGATTTGGAAGAGAAGGATTACCTAAGATAAATACAGATTTGTCACCAATGAACAACCAATAAGCTTCTCTACAACAACAATGCAGACTTCTCAGAAAATAGCCTGTGAATGTGTTTTAGAAAAATGAGCTGTAGAGGTCAAGTTTCCCAAGCAAAACGAAGAAAAGTAGTACTATGTATTACAATGATTAGGTATACTAACACAAAAAATTTTACAAATTTAACCTAGTAGAAAGCAGAAAATGACTTTTATATTAATCATGTGAAAAGGTACAGGACTTTAAATATTATAAAATATTCCAAGCATCGACCTTCCTTCACATCCTTATTTTGTATTTAACTATCTTCAGTATTATATTTAATCTAGTTCTAGATCTGACCCAGAGTATTCAAAAACTACTGCCAAGAATACATTACCATTGATTGAAGACTGCATTCTTGAGGAGACATTGCAACATCGGATTAGCTGTGAGACTACTGAGTATAATTTGCCTAATTCAGCATACTGGTATTTAATTGGAGGGCCAGGACCTTCATCTAAGGACACAAGCATAAAGGTAGCAGGCACACTCAGTTTCAGCAGCTGTGTCTTCTCTGCCACTCCTGCAGTCAAAAGGAAGACAGAAAACAGGCAGAGAAGGAGAAAAATGGGGAAGGAAAACATTAGGATCGAAAGAACTTTGTGAACAAAACCAACAGTTATTAAAAATATTTGTTGCCGGGCGGTGGTGGCGCACGCCTTTAGTCCCAGCACTCGGGAGGCAGAGGCAGGCGGATCTCTGTGAGTTCGAGGCCAGCCTGGTCTCCAAAGCGAGTTCCAGGAAAGGCGCAAAGCTACACAGAGAAACCCTGTCTCGAAAAACCAAAAAAAAAAAAAAAAAAAAAAAAAAAAAAAAAAAAAAAAAAAAATTTGTCTAGGCTGGAGGAATGGCAAAGAGGTTACGAGCACTGACTATTCTTCCAGAGGACCTGGGTTCAATTTCCAGCACCCACATGGCAGCTCATAACTGTCTGTAACTCCAGTTCTAGGGGATCTGGTACCCTCACTCAAATATACATGTAGGCAAACACCAATACACATTAAAAAATATAATTTATAAAAAAAATTTGTCGATCATTTCCCGGCTCTTCGTATGCATATTCATGGTGCACATGTCTGTGGAGACCAAAGTTATGTTGAGAATCTTCCTCAAAAGCTCTTCCACCTTATCCTCTGTGGCAGGATCTCTCAGACCTAGAGCTTGCAGATACTTTCTTTATTTAACTAGCCAGCTTGCTCTGCAGATACCTTGTCTCAACCTTTTCAGGCTGGAATTACAGGCAAACCATCATTCATCACTCAGCATTTTCATGAGTTCTGAGGATTTGAACTCTTGTTCAATAAGCACTTTAACCACTCAGCGAACTTTCTAACCCTGGTCTATCACTTTTTTTTTTTTTTTTTTTTTTTGAGATAGCACTTCCTTATGTAGTCCTGGCTATTCTAGAAGTCACTATGTAGACCAGGTCAGCCTCAAATTCAGAAATCTACTTACTTCTGTCTCCCAAGAGCTAGGATTATGCCTTTTTTTTTCTTTGTTTTTTTCAAGGAAGAATTTCCCAGTGTAGTTTTGGTGCTTGTTCTGGATCTTGCTCTGTAGACCAGGCTGGCCTCAAACTCATCGAGATCTGCCTGGCTCTGCCTCCTGAGTGCTGGGATTAAAGGCGTGTGCCACCACCGCTCAGCTGGATTATGCCTAACTCTTGCCTATCACATTATAATTAGGAACACACTGTTTTTTACCTGGATTCAGACTTACTTAACTAGGGTAATAAATTTACCACTTTAGCAGTTTTAATATTGAATTCTACGCAAAACAGTGACCATTTGGCTATAAGTGTGTAGACAACAGGATAAGGAAGACCTTACAGCCAGGAAAATTTAAAATCTAAAATCTAGATGTGAACTAGACTGTAATCCCTACTATAAGAGCGATTAAGTGAGAAATAGGGTTCTGGTATGCAGCATAGGCTGGAGATCACAACCAACCATACAGACAAATGAGAAGTAAAGAGGGCCATAAATCAGTTAGTTCTGCTTGGGCACAGAACTCAAATTTAATGTAAAAGTTGTGTGGGTTTTTTTTTTTTAAAGATTTATTCATTTATTGTGTATACAGTGCTCTGTCTGCATGTATGCCTGCAGACCAGAAGAGGGCACCAGATCTCATTACAGATGGTTGTGAGCCACCATGTGGGTGCTGGGAATTGAACTCGGGACCTCTGGAAGAGCAGACAGTGCTCTTAACCTCTGAGCCATCTCTCCAGCCCCCGGGTTTTTTTTTTAAAAACTTTTAAAGAAGTCATTAAAAAATAATTCTCTAAGTTTCTGAACCAGTTCTGAATATGGTCAAATAGAATTATCACTAGCAGGGAATTTGCCAATAGTTATTTTAAGGTAAGCATACTAATACCTTTTCGGCAATTCCCCCCTGCCACCCCTCACTTTCCGACCCTGCCAAGACAGGGTTTCTCTGTGTAGCTTTGTCTGTTCTGGAAGTCGCTCTATAGACCAAGATGGCTTGAACTCAGAGATCTGCCTGCCTCTGTCTTCGGAGCGCTGGGGTTAAAGGAGTGTGCCCCACCACTGCCCAGCTGGCAATTTTAGTAATTTCTATTATAGGACACATATTTCCTGTCTAAGCTAATTAAAAGAAACACCAAAATAACAATGCAAGAATTATTTGTTGCTTTTTTTGAGACACAATCTCATTGTCACTCCGGCTGGTCTAGAAACTCACAACTCACTATTAAGACAGGCTGGCCTCAAAATCAGGGATCAATTTGCCTCCCTAGTGCTAAAATTAAAGGTGTGCCCCTACACTTTAGCACTGGCAATGCCCATGTTTGTGGTAGACAAGTGTTCTCCCTAGATCCAATCTTTTGCAACAAAAATAGTGGAACTCAATAGAGCATGATATTTCGGTACAGTTCTAGTAGTAACTGAACAAGAACAAGCGGTAATATTGGAAAGAGCAAGCTACTTTGAGAAAGAAAGCTGTCAAACAGAGGCAGCCCTGTTCTAGGAAATCCAACACCCTCATATAGGCACATATGCAGGTAAAACACCAATGTACATAAAATAATAAAGCAAACAGACGCGGTATCATTGCTTAATGAGGCAAAACTGAACAAACTTTCACCTGTGTTTATCAGAGGTATACATAAAAAATTATAAAGCACACAGAGGAAAAGGTTTGATGTAAAGAAAAATCTTTACAGTTCATCATTTGACCTTCTGGATGACTCATTTAACGTAATACTTTAAAACAGAGATTATGGGCCAGGCGGTGGTGGCGCACGCCTTTAATCCCAGCACTCGGGAGGCAGAGCCAGGTGGATCTCTGTGAGTTCGAGGCCAGCCTGGTCTACAGAGTGAGTTCCAGGAAAGGCGCAAAGCTACACAGAGAAACCCTGTCTCGAAAAAACAAAATAACCCAAAAAACAGAGATTATGAAAATTTCAATTCTTACCTAAATTGGCATACATTACAAATAAGTTGAAATACTGCTGTAAATGACGTCCATGCTCTGAAACTTCCCTCCTCAAGAGATTTAGTACTGCTCTTAGTAAATGATCACTCAAGCTTAAGTTGTCATAAGCCTGTAAAGGAGAACACACTAGTTAATTCTCAACAAGGTGAAAAAATAATTATACTCTAGTAAAAAGGAAACATGTATGTATATGTTGAACACAAGAATACTTCTCTGAGCCGGGCGGTGGTGGCGCACGCCTTTAATCCCAGCACTCGGGAGGCAGAGCCAGGCGGATCTCTGTGAGTTCGAGGCCAGCCTGGGCTACCAAGTGAGTCCCAGGAAAGGTGCAAAACTATGCAGAGAAACCCTGTCTCGAAAAACCAAAGAATACTTCTCTGGAATGACTGATCACATGAACTCTATCTACCCTGCCTACCACCACTAGATTGATCCAAGGCCTTGTGTATGCTAATGCTAGAGAAGAACTTTGCCACTGAGCTATATCCAAGATTCTTACCAATAGAGAAGCGACGAAACTAAGTTGGCCCAAGCTGGCTTTGAATTTGCAATTCTCCAGCCTTAGCTTCTGAGGAGGCTGGGATTATAGGCCTGTGCCACAAACTATTAAAAGGAATTCATTCTTGCCAAAGGGAATGAAGACCTCAAGTAGGTTTCCCAGCTTTCCTTTTTTGTTTTGAGACAGGGTCTCAATGTGCAGAACCCAGGTTGTCTTTGAACTCTCACCTCCCACCCCCCCAGCTTCCCAGGTAGGAGAGTTACAAGCATGTGCCTCTACACAACAAGCCAGGCATGGTGATGCATGCCTTTAAGCCTTTAATCCCAGCACTCGGGAGGCATAGGCAGGCGGGTCTCTGTGAGTTCAAGGCCAGCCTGGTCTACAAAGTGAGTTCCAGGACAGCCAGGACTGTTTCACAGAGAAACCCTGTCTTGAAAAACCAAACCAACCAAACAAAAACAAACCACCACCAAAATGAAGGAGATACGAAAATCCCATGTGGAAACACTATTTTGTAAGCTAATTAAAAAATAGGCCTGGGGAGATAGCTCAGTGGGTAAAGTGGGAGAGCTTACCACCCAAACAGAGGGCCAGGAGTTTGAGTCCTAGAACCCACATGGTGGAAGGAGAGAACTGACTCTCACAAGTTACTCTCACAGTTTGCTCTCCAACCATAATACTTACGCTGTGGCACATGCACAACAAATACAAAATAAATGTTTAAAAAGCGCGCGCGCGCGCACACACACACACACACACACACACACACACACACACACACACACACACAAATTTATCTCTTTAAGAAAATTCCCTTCTGTGCTAGAGATGGAAATCAGAGCCTTGTACATTTTAGGAATATTCTCAACCACTGAATCATACCCCAGGTCACCCACACATTTTTAAAGGGCAAGTATTTACTGTTGCTTTTTATCCAGTAATTTTAATGGAACTCAGGTATCAGGCTTTGTTATTGTGGTAAATGTTTTTAAAAAAAAACAAAGACATTCAGGTTTCTCTCTTCAACTTCAGGAAAACACATTTTTTTGGTGAATATACAAATAATTATAAACAAAGGCACAATTACCTGACTAGAAGGTCCAGGAGATGCAAAAGGTGAAGGACATGGCCCATCTTGCAAGGAAAAATGTGCAATGAAAACTATAAGTTTAGCAAATGCACCTCTCACTTCTGCACTAGGGCATTCCAAAAGGTATTCAGAAAATCGATTTGAAACATTAAAAAGGACATTGTGAGCAAACCAAAACCGCACGTTCTTGCTGTGACGAAGGAGAATACACAATGCATCATACCTAAAACAAAACAAACCACAACTATTAATTCAGGTCACTTATCCTACAGTAAAGAGATGGATTTCTAGGAAACAAAACATAGCAAACATCTTTTTTTCACCGAAGGCAGCAGCAGTAATGACCACTTCTAGTATTAACGTGGTGACACATGTCTTTAATCCCGCTGGATCTGAGTTCTAGGCTAGTTTGGTCTACAGAGAGTTCGAGGCTAGCTAGGTCTACACAGAGAAACTCTGTAGGGGTTGGGGGAGAAGACAGATGAATACTATATGACTTGGCCTAATATCATGGAATTACAAAATACATGAAAGCTACCATTGGTCACTAGAAGACTGTTGTTAGTCAAGTGGCCATGGTGCCTGGTCTACAGAGTTCCAGGATAGTCAGGGCTACACAGAGAAACCCTGTGTCAAAAAACAAACAAACAAAAAGGCTCTGCAAACCAAAACACATTATTAAATGATGACAAAATACCTTCTTATTGGAGTATCTTCTAGGTAAGTAAAAAAAGGTTTTTATACTTATTTAGCTAAAAGGATTATTTGCAGGAATAGGTTCTCTCCTTCCACTATGTGGGTTCTAAGGAATCAAAATTTAGTTTTGTCAGGTTTGGTGGTAAGAGCTTTCATACACTGAGATACCTCATTGACCCTTAATAAGTAACAATTGTTAAAAAGACATTATAGCTGGGTATGGTGGCACATGCCTTTAGTTCCAAGCCAGCCAGTCTACAAAGCGAGTTCGACAGCCAGGGTTACACAGAGAAACCCTGTCCTGAAAAACCAAAACCAAAAAACAAACAAATACAATTACTATTTTTTAATTCTGTCTTTTAAATTTGAAACAATAACTTCATGGTTCTGCAAACAAAAAGCACTCTACTCAAGAATCCCACCAAATTTTAAATAGGAATAAAAATCCAAAACAAGATACCAATCACTGGCAGAGCCACGAACTATTTTCTTTGTGTGAAATCCTGTAGTAAAGAGGAATCTAGCAGCAAGCTGAATACTAATCATAGTGATTTCTTCTGCTTCAGGAGATAGGTGATCTTGTCCTAAAAACAAACAAAAAACCAAACACATACACATATTTAAAAAACAATCAAAATTTCTGGTCAAGCCCCACTTTCAAACTAGTTTGTACTTTGTGCTCTCAATTTGTTAATATAAAAGAACTCTTCTTAGATTACTTACAGAATTCCCATTTCTGAATTTAGCACTTAATATAAACAAACAAACAAAAAAAGCCGGCCATAATAGTGCACCATTTTAATCCCAGCACTCAGGACATAGAGGCTAGTGAATCTCTGTGAGTTCTAGGCCAACCTAGTCTACAAAGTTGAGTTCCAGGACAGCCAGGGCTGTTACAGAGAAATCCTGTCTTCAAACACCAAAACCAAACCAACCAATCCCCCCCTCAACCCAAAATCAACCAATACAAAACAAAAAAACAAACAAAAAACCAAGGCTGGGAATGTAGCTCAGTGGCAGTGTTCACCTACCATGCACAAGGTCCTGGGTTCAAATCCCAGCACCACATTAAAAAAAATACTGGGAAACAACAACAACAACAAACAAGCTGAAGTCGAAGCAAGCCTGGTCTACAGAGTGAATTCCAGGACAGAGAAACCCTGTCTTGAACCCTCCCCCCACAAAAAAAGGAATAAGGATTAGAAAGATGCCTCAGCAATCAAGAACACTTTATTGCTCTTTTAGAGGATGGAGGTTAAGTTCCCAACATTTGACTCTGTAATTCCAGTTCCAGGGAATCCACGTACACAAAGCATAGACATACATGCAGGCAAAACATTCATACATATAAAATGGATAAATCTAAAAAAGAAAAAGCAAGGCTTATGCCTACTAGTAAATAAATTACCCTATGCTATAGGAAGCTAACTGGACACTTACCTGGAGGAGGGTTTAAGTAAACACCATTACACGTAAGTAGTTTTTTCATAAACTGAAAGTATTCCAGACTGTACTGCATTCGGTTGTGCATGAACTGTACATTCTGCTTCCGTACACTTCTCTCAATGGCTGATGGCATAACAATCTGATGGGGTCTTGTGGTGATAGCAATCTCCGATATGTATCGTATCACCTCATCATCATGGTCTATTGTGTCCATTCGTTCATAAAAAAGTATATAAGCATTCCACCACCTTTTCTGGCGCCTGTACGACATGCGCTTCATCATGTGATCAAACACTTCTCCCATGTACTCGCCACCAAAACACTGGTTTTTCATTTCTTCGTCGTCATCCATTTTACACTCTGTTACATCTCCATCATCAAATTTATACCAGCGATTCTTTTCCCCATCTCCTCCATTCCTCTGAATGATGTAAGAATAATAATGTCCCCCACTTGCTTGACCACTGTGCACAAGCACACCAACAAGTCTGTATTTTGTGCTTCCTGCTTTCTCTTCAGACTGCTCATTCTGTTGTATCAGTTGACTTTCTGGGTTTACGTTATCCCCCTCTAGCTTAGCAACGCCTGCAACTGTGTAAGGTTCCATGTCTAACTCTCGAGGAAATTCAAAGTAATCATTGAACTTGATTGCACATTCTCTTTCCCAGTCATAATCGAATCGTTTTAGTTGGATAGCAAGTACGGGAGGTAATTTTTTAATTAGCAAACGCTTTACAGTATCAACCTAAAATAAAGAGAAAATTAATAGATACAGTCCACTATAAAAAACAAACCAAAATCCAAGCAACCACCACCACCACACTCCCAAATCAGAAAGGGAACCTAAGCTGTTTCACATGCTAAGCAAGCACTCACCTTTAGCTATACCTCCAATTCTTTTTTGCCCAGGCTTGTTTTAAACTTGCTTTGTAGCCCAGACAGGACTTGAATGTGTTATCCTCTTGCTTCAGCCTCCTAATTGAGGTTACATGATTGTGCTATCAAGACCAGACCAATCAAACATTTTTCTCTTGGAATTTTTTTGTTTTTGTTTTTTAAGATAGGGTCTCATACTATATAGTTCTAGTTGGCTTCAGGCTATGTAGTTTAGGCTCATCTGGACCCAAGGTAATTCTGGTGCTTTGGCTTCCCTTGCATAGTGGTGAATCATTATATCTAGCTGTTTAAGCAAACTATTTGATGTGTAAGTATATACCACATGTGTGCCTGGTGGCTGAGGAGGCCAGATAAGGGCAACAGATTCCCTGAAACTGGAACCATAGATGACTGTGAACTAACTGCCATGTGGGTGCTAAGAGACTGAATCCAGGTCCTCTAAAAGAAAAGTAACCATTCTTCACTGTGAGCTATCTCCCCAGCCTCTTAAGCAAATTCTTAAAAACAAAACAAAACAAATCATAATCACTGTATCAAGTTTTCTTAAGACTTACTTGGATTGCAATCATAAGGTGATTCTATGAGGTTGATGTAAACATTAACTGGTTAATATGGAAACAGCTTATACCAGTTATTAGAAATTGCAAAAATTAGTTATTTACATGTTACTTACTGCCTGGTTTCTATCCTGTCCTTGCCTCTAGCCACTGTTTGTTATTTTTTTGTTGTTGTTCTGTTTTTCAAGATAGGGTTTCTCTATGTAACCATCCTGGCTGTCCTGGAACTCACTTTGTAGACCAGGCTAGCCTCGAACTCACTGAGATCTGCCTGCCAATGCCTCCCAAGTGCTGGGATAAAAGGCGTGTGCCACCACCGCCCAAGCCCGTTGTTTGTTATTTATAGTTATCCCAATAAAGGTTGTTTGCTGTAAGCAAACTGAAGAAATAGTTTACTTTTTATTGGGCAATTAGAAGGCAGTTAATATTACACAGGTGATAATATATTTGAGATCCTTACAACCTTAAGATGGCACTACTGAACCTTAAAGATAGGAGAAGAGTCCTGGTGAAGTTTAGCAACCTGCCTCATGTCTGAGAGCTATGGTGACAGACAATGTTGCTTCATAGCCCATAAAACCCAAAGTACAGACTTGAATACTTCTCTAAGTGGTGTGGTAAGCCAAATAATACAAGTGACTTAGAGGTGAAATGGTTTGGAAGCTAGAAAAGGTAAACACAATTTACTATTCATACATTTGAACATCCTTCTCCCTTGAAGAGCTAAGTTCCCATAGGTAAGATCTAATTAGGTAATAAAAAACAATTTTACTCTATTTAAAAAATTAATAGTTTCAGCAAAACAATCCTTGTCATAAGAGGAAAAATGGTTTCCTCCATCAGCTCTGCATTTTCTTGGAAAAACAAATCAGTGTTAACTCACAACAAAGGTGCTATCAAGCTATTATAATTTTATATTTCCTAGCCTTTTCTGGCACTACTTTTTAACTTCTCTCTCTCTCTCTCTCTCTCTCTCTCTCTCTCTCTCTCTCTCTCTCTCACACACTCACACACACACACAGCTTTTTTATTATGATAAAGGAAGATTAAAAAAGAAGTGTGAACTTCAGACCCACCTCCAAGCCCCATGTCTTTTTTTTCTTTTTATAAAGGACCTACCAAGTTCAATTTGTGCTGTCCATATTCTTCTGGGTGTAAGGCCATTCACTGGATTGTAGTCCATTTACCAGGACTTAAAGAAGTGGTCTTTCCCTCACCAGGAGCTATCAACTATCCATTATTCCTTAGTTAGAAGTATCATAGTTATCTTAACAGACAATTCATACCTTTTTATTGCATTTTTCACAATGATAAGCATTTGCTCCTTCTAATAAATCTCCTTTGACATACTGCTCCAAAGAATCAAGAAGATTTTGGTGGTTTCTAATGTCTACATTCAGAGTCGTAAAGGATTCTTCACATTCGTACCTAAAGGTATTTAAGAAATTATCAGAAAAGGATTTACTCTTTAGTTCTTAGATTATAAAACCCCTAAGTCATGGAATATTACCAATACCAATGGCATTCCCTGGCTAGTTAGATTGTTCTGGTCACTACATTAGGTTGATTATACATTCTATATGTTAAATTCTTTGCCTTCCGGTTTCTCAGAAAATTGGGAATTGATCTACCTCAAGACCCAGCCATACCACTCTTGGGAATATACCCAAAAAATGCTCAATCATATCACAAAGATACATGCTCAACTACGTTCATAGCAAAACTATTCATAATAGCCAGAACAACCTAGATGCCCTTCAACTGAAGAATGGATTAAGAAAATGTGGTCATATACACAATGGAGTACTACTCAGCAGAGAAAAACAATGACAGTGCTGTGGGATGGTCTGTATGGCAAATTGCTCTGATTGGTCAATAAATAAAACACTGATTGGCCAGTGACCAGGCATGAAGTATAGGCAGGACTAACATAGAAGAGAATTCTGGGAAGCGGAAGGCTGAGGAAGGGAGTCACTGCCAGCCGTTGCCATGACCAGCAGCATGTGAACATGCCGGTAAGCCATGAGCCACGTGGCAAGATATAGATTTATAGAAATGGATTAATATAAGATATAAGATCAATTAGCAAGAAGCCTGCCACGGCCATACAGGTTGTAAGCAATATAAGTCTCTGTGTTTACTTGGTTGGGTCTGAGCGGCTGTGGGACTGGCCGGTGACAAAGATTTGTCCTGACTGTGGGCAAGGTAGGACCAGAAAAACTCTAGCTATATGATAGCATGAAATTTGCAGGCAAATGGATGCAACTATAAAATATCATCCTGAGTGAGGTAACCCAAACCCAGAAGGACAAACATGGTATGTACTCACTCATAAGTGGATTCTAGATATAAAGCAAAGAACAATCAAACTGCAACCCACAGAACAGGGAGGCTATATAGCAGGGGGGACCCTAGAATGACTGTGGCTTATAATAAGTTTTGGTTTTACTCAATCACTGGGTAAGCCTCTGAAACATTTCACAATTAGGATAAGAATTTATACTGTATCAAGCTGATAATAGAAAAATAAATAAATAAATAAAAATGAAAGAAAAAAACAGGGCTAGAAAGAAAAAAGCTGTGGGGCGTGACGAAGAGAAGGGGGTAAAGGGAATAAAGCCAAGAGAAGCAAAAAAAAAAATTCTTTGCCTTCATGACAAATTGCTAGAGAACTATCACCACCCACATTTGAGTGAAATGTGATCTGAAAGGTTAGTCAAAAGAACTAGGTAAAATGGAAATTAAGACTGGCTAGCTGGGAGGTAGTGGAGCCCGCCTTTAATCCGAGCACTGTGAATTCAAGGCTAGCCTGGTCCACAGAGGGAGTTCCAGGACAGCCATGGTTACACAGAGAAACCCTGTCTTGAAAAACAACAGCAAAAAACAGGGCTAGCTGGGCTTACAGTTTAAGCTCTTTTAGTCTACCATGTTGTTTTCACAGTAATAAATTATGGGTCCCATTGTCTCTGTGCCAAGTGCTCAATTCTCCAATTTTAGTAAAAGACAGACAATACATAATTGAGTGAGCAAATTCCAATAAGACTTTATAGAACAGTTAACTAGCTAGATTAGGCCCATGCTCCTGGCTTAAAGATTATGTTCTTTTAAAATTTTCTCTTGGAAGCCCAGTGGTGGTGGCCTCTGCCTTTAATCCCAGCACTTGGGAGGCAGAAGCAGGCAGATGAGTTTGAGGCTAGCTTGGGACTATACAGCAAGTTCCAGGACAGCCAGGGCTACACAAAGAAATCCAGTCTTGAAAAACTAAGAAAATCTCTTAGTTTTACAAGACTGATAGAAACAGATAACCAAAGTGTTGGTTATTTTATCAATAATTAAGAGGTTAAAATTATTATATCACTTGCTTCAGATGAAAAACTTTTAAAAAGAACCAAAAGTTGTCTAGGCTACTGGACAATATATGCCCAAAGAACACACACAACCTCTCATTTAAATTATTATAATCCCACAGGGCTGGAGAGATGGCTCAGGCGTTCAGAGCACTGTCTGTTCTTCCAAAAGTCCTGAGTTAAATTCCCAGCAACCACATGGCGGCTCACAACCATCTGTAATGAGATCTGGTGCCCTCTTCTGGCCTGCAAGGACATATGCAGGCAGAACACTTTGTATATATAATAAATAAATAAATCTTTAATTTACTCACTAAGAAACAAAATGCTTCCATTAATGATAAAAATCAGCCCATGACTACATAAAATAGTTTGGTTTACGTAGAAATACTACCTTTTAAAAAGTTGCACTCTGTGTATTGGCTCTCTACTTCCACAATATGGGACTAGAGGATAGAACTTAGGTCATCAGGCTTGGAGACAAGCATCTTTAGCTTGCTGAGCCATTTCATTGGCTTTAAAATTATCATCTTAGAGATTGCAAATCACCATTAACTTGTTTTGAGAGAATTTTAATAAAAAGCAAATCTTAAAAATGTATTATTTAAGCTGGGAGATGGTGGCATATGCCTTTAATCCCAGCACTCAGGATCTGTGAGTTCCAGGACAGCCAGGGCTATTACACAGAGAAACCCTATCTTAAAAAACAAAAACAAAAAATTTTTTTACACTGTGTACGTCACTACATATACAGGCGTATCAGGACAGCTTTGTGAAGTTGGTTCTCTCCTTCCATATTTTGCTAAACTTGAAGCATCTTGTTGTCCCCAATAAAAAAGTATTTTTTGTTTTTAAAATTTTTGTGTAATCTTGTGTGTCTGCAGACGCCAGAAAAGGGTGTTGGATCTTCTAGAATTAGTTATGGTTATGAACTGGCTGATGTGTGTCCTAGGAACTAAACTTGGGTTTTCTCTGGTAGAGCAGCAAGAGCTAGTTAATCTCTCCAGCCCCCATTTTGCTTTCGAAAGATTATTTTATGTGTATGGGTGTTTTGCCTTCATTTATGAATGTGTACAGTGTACATGCCTGGTGCCTGAAAAAGCCAGAAGGAGGTGTCAGATTCTTGGTAAATGGAGTTGGATCCTCTGCAACAATAGCCAGTTTTTAAACAATGAGCTGGCTCTCTAGCACCCCTAGTTAAAATTAGCACACAAAGTAACAGGTTTCCTTATAGCACCAAAATAAAATTTTGGTGTGATTTGACAGTTAGAAATTATGTTTATCATTACATATAGAGTGCATAAACTATTAGGTTTTTAAAGTTTTATTTATTTATTATGAGTATTATGTATCTGGACCCTATGTATGCCTACTGCCTGACGAGAAGAGCACCAGAGCCCCCCAAACAAAGTTATAGATGGTTGGTTGTTAGCTAGCGTGTAGGTGCTTAGAACTGAAATCAGTTCTCTATAAGAGCAGAAGAATAGTCAGTATTCTTTTTTTTTTTTTGGGGGGGGGGGTTCGACACAGGGTTTCTCTGTGTAGCCCTGGCTGGCCTCGAACTCACAGAGATCCACGCTGCTCTGCCTCCCAAGTGCTGGGATTAAAGCTGTGCACCACCACCGCCCAGTGGCATCTTAAACTTTTGTACTCCTCCTGCCTCAGCCTCCCAAGAAGATTAACTACAGGCAAGAACTACTACATCCAGACCTTAATTTCCCTTTAAAATTAAAACCAAAAGAAAAAAAAAAAAAAAAAAAAAAAAAACAACAACAAAAAAACCCCCACATACCTTGAGAATGGTAACGTGTGTGTAAAAATGATAATAGATGGAACTGTTTTACCGTTTTAAAAAGAAAATAACATCTCTAGCCAGTTATCTTCTAAACTCAATGTATTTATTATTAAATTCTAAGATAAAAGGCAAACAATTCTAAACATATTCATATTCCTAGTTCCTTAGGAATATATGAAAGAATTAAAAGCATAAAATAGTAAAATATGAAGCTCAAGAAAAGGAATCAAGTTACTTAACAAAACCAAAAACCACCCTACAGTACTCACATATTCCTAGCACTTAATTTATTCACTTGTGGGAGTTTAATAAATAGTGGCATATTCCATTTTTATATTAGCACTATTAAGAATTTTATTCTTGTTAGCATGTAACAGTATTATACATTAGCATTTACCTATGAGGGCAGCCTTGGCAAATCTTCTGATCAGCAAAGGAACCTCCCAAGACTTTACTTAGCATAGCTGGATGCCCTAAGGCTTTTAAAGCTTCATCTAAACTATCCACCAATGAATTAAAGAACTCCAAAGCATCATGTTGTTCACGAAGATTAACAGGCTCACCCCAAAGCCTGCAAATGAATGGAATATAACATGTAACATATGACATTCACAACAATACAAACATTTTTATTTCCTAGGGCTGTGGGTAAGGCAATTATAATGACAGCATATACATGAGGATATAGGAAACACCACAAAAGTCCACCCAGCACTTTATGTTACTACTCTAGTGGCAAAAAATTGCCACAGAACTCCTGGTATGGTTGATGGATAGCATGGATTTAAGAAGGGTGGTTGATTCAGATAATGTGATATACATTATCTAGCATTTTGAACTTAGCTGTAGATGCTATTAAAATGAGGTGGTAGATCTAACAGGGGGGTTTTCACTTATCATTTTGCTAAATTTGGAATTACAGACAAAAAGAATTGTGTGTCCACCTTCATTAAACTGACTTTTCTAGTTCTACAGTTAATCTATTTTCAGTGATCTCAGGATTTAAGTTAGACTAATCCTGAAAACCAAGTGTCATTCACACACACACATATACCACAGAATGAGAACTGCCACTGCTCAAGCACAGGCCCTGATGGAATCTATCAGATACCTGACATTGTATTCATAGAATAATACACATAGAGGACACATAAGTATATTCTTTCTAAGCAAGAGAGATATCAAATGTACTTTATATATGCCAGAGCACTGTTTGATTAAATTCCTTGTACATGGCAAATAATATCATATATTTTACACAAAAAAACACTACCCATAGCAACTTTAAATCATATCTATCATTAGTTAAAATTAAACTGTTACATTATTGGAAATGACACTAATCTATTCTATTTACTTTCAAGCTACAACACAATCTCCCTCACTTCTGAACATGTATGCCCTTTAACAGGCATCTGTTAGGACACCATGGTACCAGCTATCATGAGTTATTAAATGAACAAATGCTCATGTATGTGCAATGAGAAGCCTATAACGTCATTAATATAGCCTTTTTGCTCTCTTTCAAATTTAATCTGAATCTAATCAGAAGGAAACAATCATACAAACCTAATTGTGAGGTTCACTAGTACAGAAAGTAGAAAAAAGCAAAAGCATAAGAAAGGGGAAAATACACAGCATTGTGGCACACACCTATAATCTCAGTATTCAAGTGGCCAAGGCAAGAGGATCCTGATTTCAAGGCCAGCCAGTCTCAAATGACAACAAAAAATCGAAACACCAAAATGAAAGTCACAAAAACAAAAACAATTGACAAATTTCACCATGAAAGGTGAGAAAGTGTGCAATTCTCAGATAACAGGAACAGAAATTTTGGATTTATAAAAGCCTTATAGAGTCAGAAGAATATAAAGTAGAGGGAAAACAGAATGGTCTGCAAAGAGGAAGAGGGGGTGTTCTGGTGATGAGACTGAAAAAAAGTGTAACTGGTAGAGTAGTGGTACACACAAACTCCCAGTACTGAGTAGAGGTTTAATTAGGGAAATACATGATGCTTGTCTGCCTCTTCTCCGATGGTAGCAGCAATCTTGTTGCTGACAGTGTTAAGAAATAAAGGATTCTTTATTGGGAAGGAAAAAAATAATACAAGGGGAGCCTTACTCTGCCAGAAGCAGAGGAAGGCAGGCAACCCTCTAGTTCCTTCTGTCAGCTGCCTAGAGGTCCCTTTGGAGGAACTATACTTTCCATTGCTGAGGATGGGAGTTAGGGCCCTTGGCTATGCTAGTCAAGTGTGCTACTACTACTTAACTGTATATCCCTACACTTTGGAGCAGCACTATATAAAAAACAAACTATATATTGCTACCAAGACTGTAACGTTTCTTTTATTCTCTTTTTGTTTTCTCTCTAACAGAATTTCTCTGTGTAGCCCTGACTGTCCTGGAACTCACTCTGTAGATCAGGTTGGCCCAGAACTCAGAGATCCACCTGCCTCTACCTCCTGAGTGCTGGGATTAAAGGTGAGCGCCACTGCTACCATCAACACCACTGTCAGGAGAATGTAGTGTTTCTTACTGGAGTATTGTAAGTACTGACTTAAAAACATGAACTGAAGCTAAAAAAACCAAAAACCCAAACCAATCATATAAAATCAACTCCCAAGAGCAGTGCATTTATACTGTCTTTACTATAAAATGTCCAATCTTGGACTTCAAATCTTTAAAACTACACTAAATAAACATATTCTCTTGATAGATTGGCAGCTGAAAAGATTTCATTGTAATAATATTAAGACCAAGTGAGTAATACAAGATGATTGCTGCTACCATCGGAGAAGAGGCAGACAAGCATCATGTACCGACTCTTCATGGAGGTAAACATGGGGATCCAGTAGCCTTGCCTGCAAAAAAATCAAAAATACTATGCTAATCTGATCAAGTCTCTGGATCTCACTAGGCACCTTAAAAAGCATGCAGGGGAAAAAGAGAAAATACTATTTGTGGCATATGGTCCTCATGTGAATTCTGATTTTGAGAAAATACCAGGGAAAATTATTTGAGCTAATGGGGAAAGTCCAAACACTGTGTTCAGTATCAAGAAAGCTTTAAAAAGCACAATAGATCCATTATGTTTTAAAACAGACATCAAATACACATAATGAAGTATTTATAAGTGAAGCTATTATCCGTGATTTGTCTCAAAATAATTTGGAAAAGTAGGAAGGAAGCTGGGCGGTGGTGGCGCATGCCTTTAATCCCAGCACTCAGGAGGCAGAGGCAGGTGGCTATCTGTGAGTTCAAGGCCGGCCTGGTCTACAAAGCCAAGTTCCAGGACAGTCAGGGCGGTTACACAGGGAAACCCTGTCTTGAGAACCCTGCCCCACCTCTCCCAAAAGGAAGGAATATGTAAGATTGTCTGAAGTGACTAGTGGTCAAGTTGAGTGGTGGTAAGTATATGAGACCCCATGATTATATTGTCTATGCATCCTACAGTTTCACAATCAAGTTATGTCATGTCTTAAGAGACTAAAGGAGGCTGGAGAGACGGCTCAGCAGTTAGGAGCACTGGTAGTTCCTGCAGAAGATCTGGTTCGGTTCCCAGCACACACATGGCAGCTAACAACCATTTGTAATGACAGTTCGAGAGGGTCCAATGCTATCTTCTGGCCTCTAATGGATGTGGTGTATAAACATACACACAGGTAAAACACCCATATGAATAAAACAAAAATAATTTTTTGACTGGATGTGGTGGTACATGCCTTAAATCCCAGCACTGTAGAAGTAGAGGTAGGAGGACATCTGTGAGTTTGAGGCCAGTCTGGTCCAGGACAGTCACGACTATATAGAGCAGTAGTTTGCAATCTGTGGGTCACAACCCCTTTGGTAAACCTCTATCTCTAAAAATATTTGCAATTCATAATGTCTCAAAAAACAAAACAAAATTAAAAAAATCAAATGTGATAGTTTGAATAGGAATGCCCACCACCAAATGCTCATATATTTGGATGCTTAGTCCCTAGTCGATAAACCATTTGGAAGAATTAGGACAGCAGTTCTCAAAGTGTGGATTGTGGGCCCCCACAAGATGCTGTGGAACAATCCTGTTGTACACTATGAATATGTATTACTTTCATTGGCTAATAAAAGCTGATTGGCTGGACAATAGCAAGGCAAAAAGTATAGGTGGTACACTCAAACAGGATACAGGGAGAAAGAAGGGCGGAGTCAAGAGTTGAGAGGAGGGGCAGAGAAGCAAGATCAACGTGTCATGCTAACAATGGTACCACCATGTGGCAGAGCGTCAATAAATAATATGGGTTAACTTAAAATGCAGGAGCTAGTTAGTAATAAGCCTGAGTTATTGGCTGAACATTTACAATTAATATAAACCTTTGTGTGGTAATTTGGAAGTGGCTCCTGGGATGGGAAAGCTCTGCCTACAACAGGGGTCACCTATCAGATACCCTGTAAATCAGATATTTACATTACAATTCATAACAGTAGCAAAATTACAGCTATGAATGAAGTACAAACAGAATAATTTTATATCTGGGCATCATCAGAACATAAACTGTATTAAAGGAAGGGCTGAAACATTAGAAGATTGAGAACCACTAGGTTAGGAGGCGTGCACTTTGTTGGAGGAGGTGTGTCACTGGGGGTGGGCTTTGATGTTTCAAAAGCCCAAGCCAGGATCAGTGTCTGTCTGTCTCTGTCTGTCTCTCTCTCTCTGTCTCTGTCTCTCTCTCTCTCTCTGCCTGCTGTCTGTATATCAGGATGTAAAGCTCTCAGCTACTACTCCAGCACCATGCCTGTTGGCTCCCCAACATGATGAAGATACATATATTAGGAATATGAGCTATTCATCAAGTTTGAAGATGTGTTTTATGAGTATCCATCCATACTTTACCTGAACTGTTTCCAAAATCCTCTAGGCACATAGTATTGTAGTCGAGAAGCAGCTAAATGCCCAAAGATAACTTGAAGGTGTCTTAGAACACCGATATTGTACTCTTTCCTATCTTCTGTTTTACTTAGTGCTGGTTTATCTTCAAATTGTTGAGGATATCCAAACACATCATCCCTGGGATCAACATTGCTCTAAAAATAAAGAAAATATCATTAATAATCAGGGATCAATATTGCTCTAGAAAACAAAAAGTATCATTAATGAACTAATCAGAAGTGTAGTAAAATATGTTGAGATAAATTCCAGTTAGTGAACATACACTTGTTTCCAAAGGACTTAATTTTCAAAAGGTGTATACATTTTAATTTATATTATTAGTCTTATTCCTACCATTTTCAGGTTGAGTGAGAATACAGACATTAATAGCTGTAAAAGAATGAAGCTAAAGCCTCTTTAATATTACATAGAGAAAACATCCAAGTCAATCTGCACCAAAGTCCTAAAAGTTAGAGCTAAAACAACAAAATTCTTGAAGGAAAAATCTTTGAGACATTGTAGTTGGTAATGATTTTTTACTATGACATCAAAGGTAAAAGCAACATATGTACAAGTTGGATCTCAGGAAAGTGAAAAACTTTTGTGTAAATATACTGCCAAGAGAGTAAAAGGGCCCCATAACCAGCCTTCTCAGCTATTTTTTTTGTTTTGTTTTGTTTTTTTGGTTTTTCGAGACAGGGTTTCTCTGTGTAGCTTTGCGCCTTTCCTGGAACTCACTTGGTAGCCCAGGCTGGCCTCGAACTCACAGAGATCCACCTGGTTCTGCCTCCCGAGTGCTGGGATTAAAAAGATTAGCTATTGCTGATTTAAACTAGTCAAAGCTCAACTTCTATCAAAACTACATAAAAAGGATGGGTACTTTGTTGTATTGGAGACATACTCCACTAAGAGGTAGTCCAAATGTGAGAGGCTATTCCAACTTTCAAACATAGTTTTTACAGTCTGAGGAAGGAAAATACAACACAATTAGCTCTTCATATCCACGGGCAGCATCTGTGGATTCATGAAGGTAAATATTGGGAGGAAAACTGATTCTGTACCAAACATGTATAGATTTTGAGAAATTTAAAACAATTACTATACAGCATTGATACTGTATAGAGCATTATATATAATCCACAGATCAAGCATGTAAAAGGATTTGTGTAGGTTTCATTCAGATTGATATCCTGGGATGGGGTGGGGAGACTTGGAAAAAGGTCCTAGACTAATCTCCTGTGGAAACTGGTGACTTAGTAGCCATTGGGAGAATGGTATCTGTTGTTAGAATTTCAAACACAGAAAAACACAGGTAACAGAAGTATAATTTACCTCATTGTCTTGCTTCTCATCCCCAGACATATCATCATCTACATCACTACCTGTGCCTTCAATTGCAAGAATACCGTTCCTGATGGAGGGAATCATATAGAGCTGTTGAATCACAGAATTCATGTAACAAGTAGCACCGGCATTTTTCAGCCCCACAAATCCTTTTGGTGGGCGGGGTCCAACAGGTGGCAGGTATTCCCACTCAGTAAGTGCTTCACAAGCTGAAAAATAAGTTTTATAGAATGAGCATAAACCATTTTGTCCTTTTCAAGCTCTGTTGACAAAACAGTAACACTACTACCTGAACAGTCATCGGAGGCAGGGCCCTCACTTGGCATTTCTCCACAAATAAACGCATTTAAGATAAATAGTGACCCATCAATCTAAAATTCTATTCATTTGTTTTTGAGACAGGGTCTCATGTAGCCAGGCTGGCCTGGAACTATCAATGTAACAGAAGATAATCTTGAACTTAAGATCCTCTTGCTTTTACGACCCCAGTGATGGGGTTAGAGTATGTAATACCATACCTACTTTATGTAGTACTGGGCATCAACGCCACTGCATTTTACCAACTGAGTCACATCTCTGACTCCCAACAAACTCCGTATTTTTTTTTTTTTTTTGGTTTTTTGAGACAGGGTTTCTCTGTGTAGCTCTGCGCCTTTCCTGGGACTCACTTGGTAGCCCAGGCTGGCCTCGAACTCACAGAGATCCACCTGGTTCTGCCTCCCAAGTCCTGGGATTAAAGGCGTGCGCCACCACTGCCTGGCTAAACTCCGTATTTTTAATCTGGTGTTGCCTCTATGGAAGTGTCTAATATATTCATGTAAGATGGTATACAGCTAACATTTCCTTGTTAAGTTTGGTTTCATCTGTACTATTCAATTATTTATTTTCAAAAAATATTTTTATTAATGTATTTGGATATACATATGCTAGAGGTATATGTAAAACCCTTGGAACCCAATGTGGAATGCTGGGAACCCACCTAAAGACCTCTACAATAGCAGCAAACGTTCTTAACCACTGGACCATTTTTCCACTCCATTAACTTTTAGTTTATACATATAACAAGACATGGTGGTTTGCTCAAGCTTTAATGAAATTTATTCATTCATGTTTGTGGTTTAAATAATCCCAAAAGTGAGGGTTTATGTCCTCATCCTGACACTTGCAAATATAGTTAAACTTAGTTCTGCTTATATCCACACAGTGCCTTTTTTTTTCCCCCTTTGCCAAACTCTGTCGTTTTGGTGCCTGTCTTAGATCTTGCTCTGTAGACCAGGCTGGCCTCCAACTCACAGAGATCCACCTGGCTCTGCCTCCCGAGTGCTGGGATGAAAAGCGTGTGCCACCACCACCCAGCCACACAGTGTGCTATTATGAGGAACAAACCAGATGATGGTTATATGTTATGTTTCTGTACTTAGTATAAAGCTGGAAACAATATAAATGCCATTTTCTAGGGGGACATTTAAATGACAATATGCTGAAGGAAAAGGTATACAGCCAATAAATGAACAGGTAAAACACTTCATGTGTTGGACAAGGAATAATGACAGCTATATCAAGTGGAACAAAAAGTGAAGAGTGTGAGGGGGCTGGAGAGATGGCTTAGTGGTTAAACACACGGGCTGCTCTCCCAGAGGACCCGAACACACAGAAGATGAGAAGAAAGATATGAATGATGATGGCTATCAAAAATGCCAGGGGAATAGATGGGCAGAAATGTACTTTTTCAGTGTATACTCTCTTTAGCACATGTTTGCTTTTATTTTTTGAGAGAGAGCCTTGGTATGTATTCCTGGCTGTCCTGCTATGCAGGTCATCATCATCTTTTTGAAAGACACGTAACTCATAGCTTTGGACATCTGAACTTTGTCCCCAGTTTGTGGCACTGTTTATGTAAGTTTAGGAGGTGTGGCATTATTAGAGAAAATATGTCACTTGGGGCAGGCTCTGAGGCTTCAAAAACTATGTGCCATTCTCAGTTCATTCTGTTTCCTGCTTTAGCTCCAGGATGTAGGCTCTTCTACTGTTCCTGCCTGCTGCCATGTTTTCCTGCTGAGATGGCGATGGACTTTTATCCGTCTGAAAATGTTAGCCCAAATAAACTCTTCCTCCCATAAGTTGCCATGCTCATTGTATTTTATCACAGTAATACAAAAGTAACTAATAACAACAGGTTGGCCTCAAACTCACAGAAACCCTTCCAGATACTGGAATTACAGGCGTGTGTTTCCATACCCAATTTGTAACATGCAAATGTATATTACTCAAAAGGAAAACTCCTCTCCATTAAGCTAAAAAAAATTTCACCTCATTATATTTAAAATTTTCTAGAACTGCTGAAAGTCTAATTTTAAAGTCTGTTTAACAATATACTTTTCTATTCTGAAACACAATCTAATAATAAAATCATTTTACAAACTTTTCCAAGATTTATATACAGCCAAGGATTATGCGTGCGCGCGCAAACACATAAAAACACACACACACACACACACACACACACACACACACACACACACACACACACACACACACACACACACAAAAGAACATGCTTTAAACCCCAGCACTTGGGAGGCAGAAGCAGGCAGATCTCTTATGAGTTTGCAGCCAACCAGGGCTACATAGTGAGAATCTTAAATAAATATGAAGTTGGTTGGGTGGTGGTAGTATACACCTTTTATCCCAGTGCTCAAGGGGCAGAGGCGGGCAGATCTCTGTGAGTTTGAGGCCAGCCTGGTCTACAAAGTGAGTTCCAGAACAGCCAGGGATACACAGAGAAACCCTGTCTTGAAAAAAAACAAAACAAAACAACAAAAACAAATCGTGAAGTCATTTCTCTGAGGGCCTGAAAAGTTTTCGGAGTCATGAATTTAGATTTTGGTTGCATTTACTGGGGCTACTGACTACAATGGAGACAGGTTATATTTCAGATTTGAAAGATGACATTTAATTTACCAAATACTTGCACTTGTACCACCACTTACACTCCCATATGTATTTGCTAAAAATCTTAGACTAGTAACTAACACAAAAATATTTTTAAACATGTTTATGAAAAGAGAGCAAACAATTTAGAATAGAATCATCATCACAACTTTGTTTTAAAGTACTTACTAGTTATTGCTGTACCAATGTAATACATTTCAGTCAAAGAATCTACTATCTGTTTGAGGTTCCTCACACAGCCAACAGCTAAAGCTACAAGTAACTCAAAACCAGCATTAATTGTAGCTGGTGAACCACAGACAGGAATAGCCTGTTCAGCTGGGAGCTCTCCATTTCTCATATACTGCAGGTAAACATTGGATGCAGGAAATATGAAATCGTCGATTAATTCCTAAACAGTTGAAAGAAAGAATACATATTAGCAATGACATTCTGCAAAGGGTAAAATTTATCTTTTAAGAAAATTTATTACAACTTTCAGACTTCCTTACACCACAGAAAACTTATAGTGGGGTTTTTAGTGAAAATATCCCCCTTTTAAAATGATTTACCTACACAACCAATGTCTTGTTATTTATTTTTAGGTATTAAGACAACTGATTGCTATAATAACTAACAATTTATATTCTACATTTACTCAGAATCTAGCCCTGGCTGAACTTGAACTCTTTGAGATCCTAGTACCTGGCTCTATTTTACATTTACTTTAAAAATTAAATGGCTATTAATGGAAGACAACTTTGAATAAAATTATACTAAAATGACACTTCATTGTCTAAATTGCCCTGTTTAAAAGAAAACTCAAAGAATTAATATATATGATGTAGGCAGGCATATCTCTCAGAGTTCTAGGCCATCCTGGTCTACACAGCAAGTTCCAGGACAGTCAAGACTATATAGAGAAACCCTGTCTTAGAAAACAAAACAAAGAAAACAGAGACTTAGGAACAGTTCAGATTTTTCAGACAAAAAATTAAGTAACACTTGATACTGACATTTTATTTGCATGTTAATACCTAGAAACATGCCAGGCTACAGGAAGACATAACTGTTTTACATTATCTAAACAAATATTGTAACCCTGTTTTGTAAAAAGACCTAATACTATCAATCAGATTCAATGACAACACTTACAAGGATAGGATATGTGGTTTAAAATCAACAACACAGAACTTACTTTAATGAGATTAGCACCTCCCTTTTCACAACCAATATGAAACTTTTTCTCAGGAGTCTGAAAAGCCAGCAGCTCTTTTGTAACCCCAAGGTGTCCTTCCAAGATTGTCTCTTCAATACCTGTTTCACCTGTTCTTTTAACATCATCCTGCCAAAGGAAAAAGAATTATAAATGACTAACTTATGAAATGGAGGAATCTGAACAAGACAGCTAGAAGAATGTGAGTGAGACTACTCTAAACCTTTCCATTTCCAGTCAAGCAAGTTAAAATTATCTTGAAATTTCTAGACATAGGCTTTATAGACTTCTAGAAGAAATGGTAATATGAAGGTTAACATCTGTTGTGGTTTGGGTATGAAATGTTCCTCATAGGATCCTATATTTGAACACTTGGTCCCTAGCTGTTGGTACTGTTTGGGACACTTGAGAAACCTTCGGGTGGTGAATCCTGCTGGAGGAAATATATTAGTTACTAGAAGGACGTGTTTGTTGGCTTTGAGTTTTGGTCTCACTCTCTGTGGTTCTTCAGTTTCAATATGATTAAATAAATTTTTATACAAGTCTTCAAAAGACTTATCAAAATTAGTATATCTGACTACTTTGGGAGGAGAGAGCATCAGCATTTTCTTTTCTTTTTTCTTTTGGTTGTTCCAGAGAGGGGTCTTCTGTGTACCCCTGGCTGTCCCCAAACTCATGGAGATCTACCTGCTTCTTCTGCCTCCCAAGTGCTGGCATTAAAGGCATGTGCCACCACCACTACCACCAGCACCAGGCCAGCATTTTAAATTTAAATAACAATTTGCTGAAAGGCAGAAAAGCTAAAACTGCAGCTGTACCTCATTATGCCATATCTTTTTTTCCACTGGACAGGGCCTCACTATGTAGCCCTTAATTCATACAGATGCGCTTGCTTCTGCATCCCAAGTCCTGGGGTTAAAAGCACATGCGACCATGCTCAGCTTGTTTTTTATGTATGAGTGCTTTGTCTGCAGGTATGCCTGCGTGCCAGAAGAGGGCATAAGATCCCATTACAGATGGTTGTGAGCCACTATGTGGTTAGTAGGAATTGAACTCATGTCCTCTGAAAGAGCAGCCAGTGCTCTTAACTGTTGAGCCATCTCTCCAGCCCTTGTATTCTAAATCTTAAGCACACATTTTCTGTAAGTAGCAATGCATTCATACTATAAAGCACAACCCAACAACACAATGTACGTTCTTTGGTTCCCTGTAAGTTTGGAGTTTATTCACTTCACCAAAATGTTCTAAACGACGAACCATTTATTAATGAAGCATTATTTAATAATGATATAAACAAACATAGTATTAACAATGACTTACCCTAATTCTTTTGAGCCAGTCAATTTCATTATTAAGAAGAACTTCAGCATTGGGTACATTAATGTTACTGTTGTAAGCATAATTAAGAAGGTGCCTTAAAAGAGTAAAGTAGTCGCCTGAATGTTTAGCCCTCTCTCTGGCTGTGCTCTGAAAATGATAAAATACAGTATGATGAATCAGTATGTTCATGTGTGGAATTTTTACCTTATGTTTGATTAAGTATAGATTGCCCTAACTGATACAAGCTCAATTCACAAATTCCTGAATATCCTTGTTGAAGGAAGTAGTTACACTGGTAAATCTATTTTTGGTTTCTTACCCCCAAAACAGTAAAGAGGAGAGTAATGAAGAAAAGTAGAGGCCTGTGTCCCATGCAACATCTGGTACACATTAAGAAGAATTGCTCCTGTGCTACTTGACGAACAGTTCTGAAATGGAAATTAAAAACATGAAAAAATACATAAGTGAGTGAGTTTAACACAGCATGTCCAAGGCTAAGATCAAACACTTTCTGAGGGATGCCTTCTAACCTTTCTCTGAAGACTACAACTCGTATAGGTAGAAAATGCTCTATAACAAGTCTTAAAACACCTACACCGCCCCCCCCACAGAATTTTCATCCAATTGCATTTTAGAAAGGGTCAGTGGGAATTATGTTATCACAGAAAGGATATTGCTGCAGGCAGTAAGTAGTGAAGTACTGATTGCAAAAGCATGGCCTACTAGAGGAGCAACTTTGAAACTTGTTAGAAATGTCAATTCTCACATCTGATGAGAAATGGTAGTAGGTCTGGCCAAGAATGTGCTAACAAACCTTCCAGGTGATTCTGATATTCTCTGAGGACAAATGACATGGGAATTTTATCTAACACTTATGGATCAATCTTTCACCAAGGTTTACATACTACATCAACTTCACTATAATGAATGTTCCTAGGGGGCAGAGACATCTCTGTTTGACATGGTGCTTCTAGAACACCAAAGAGTTTCGAGATAGAGTATGTGTCGAAGAACCAGTTACAATTAAATCAATGACAATAAAACTTTCAGATTTGGGCCTAAATTTAAGATTTTTGAATTAGGGAATGCTCAAATGGTAAAGCCTAGGCAAAGAGTAAAAATCTCAAAAACTTCAAAATGTGAAGCGCTTCTGGTCCCATATACCTAAGAGACAGAAATTTACCCTATATTAGAGAGGGGAAAAATCAGATGCCTTAAAAATAAGTAAGTAAATAAATTTGACATCTGCCTCTCACAAGTATTCTAACCTTGGTGTGTTTCTTTTCTTATTGCAGACAAGAAAAATAACGAGATGAAGGGCTTCCTACAGTACTTTGTCCTATTATCTGTAAGTTTCAGGAAGAGAAGGGTTAAGTGGGGATTGTGGATTCAGTTCAGTGGTAGAGAATGCTTCCCTATTACCACTCCTCCTACACACACACACCAAGACCCTGGGTTTCAACCACAGTACCACACAAACCTGGGCACCCACCTATATACAGAGGGGCAAAAACTTGTAACAGTGGGAACATTTTCAAGAGAAAAGCAGGAAACCTATTACACTAATTTTTGTTTTAGCCTAAACATGGAAAACTTGCTAACTGAAGGATTTTGGAAAGAAAATCAAGGGTGCAAAATCCTGCTACCTCCAGGTTTGAGCTCATTGAAAGTGCTGACTTACCATCTTTCCTCCCTTCACCACTAGCACTCAAATGCATTATTAAATGGAACTTGAATGATTTATCCTATTTGTTTTCAATGTACAGAGCTGTACAACTATGGTAAGGTTTTTTTCAAAGAGGCAATAATAAGCTTTCCCTGTTCTGCATCTGTTTCAATCACATGAAATATTTTCTTTTTTGAGACAGGGTTTTTCTGTGTAGTCCTGAAACTCACTCTGTACATAAGCCTGGCCTCAAACTTAGAGATCTATCTACCTGCCTCTGCCTTCTGAGTGCTAGGATTAAAGAAGTGCACTACCACTGCCTGGCTAAAAAAGTTTAATTGGTCAGACTGGCTGTAATCAAGGAAATTTCTCAATTTCTTTGCAGATCAGTGCATTCTTACTTGATACTCCACTATATCACAGTGGTGTGTTGTGAGGAGTAGGCAAGTTGAACGCGACCTATTAACATGTAACAGCGATACCAATTAGTTTTTTGTGTTTCTTTTTTTTTTTCTTTTTTGAGACATGGCATCACTATGTAGCATTGTTTGTTCTGGAATTTGATATGTAGAGCAACTAAGCCTCAAAATCACAAAGGTATCCATGCCTCAGCCTCCAGAGTGCTGGGATTAAAAGTGTGTGCCACCATGCCTGACCTAATTTGTTTTTATAATTACCTTATATATGAAAATCAGGATAAGACTGATACAAATGGATGGAAACCATTTTCTATAGATTTGAATGCCTTAAAGCTGAATGACTTGCATAGAAAAGCAGCTTGAAACATTACTGATACTGAGTAAATGCTCTTGAGATGAAAAAATGAGAGATTTACTCTAAGTAATTGATCTTTATTCTAGTATGAAATCCATAAGCTGATATGGCAGTCCTGTTTTAAATTTCACACTAAATTAACAGTTGGCACCTAGGAATACAGGACAGGAGGCCAATATCGGATCCAATTTTTCAGACTAAAACTAAACAAATTGAGGGTTAGGTCAAACATTGTTAAATGACTATTTCTTCAACATTAATGTACTGTGGAGAATATTTGGTTTCTATCATACCTTGTGCTAACAAATTTGACTCTACTTATAAAAATAGAATAAAGTTTTTTAAAATTAAAAAGAAACTTACTTGCTGTGACAGTGCAATAGTAAGTCAATAATGAATGTCTGCCAAGCCTTTTCTTTACTTAGAGCATCTAAGGCTGTTGGAATCAAGGCGAAACACAATGTCATCACTTCCAATGCTTCACAACAAACCTGTTCATCTTCCAGGTCTGGCTCATTGCCTGCATTGGTCTGTAAAATTATAATTGGAAACAAGTTACTTAAAGATTCTTTTAAAGAAAAAACATACCTAACATGAAAGTGTGAGGGAAGACTCCTGGTTGGGGGCTGAGAAACAGAGAGAACAAGAAAGGAAAAAAGGGAAGAAACAACAAAAACAAATCTTATTTTAAAAAGTGCAATAAAGAAATCTAATTCTTTATAAATTAATTTAGAAAGTGCTTAAAAGAAATATCTTGTATGACTTCAAAACCTCAGTGCTTAAAATTTCACTCAGTTAAAAAACTACATGGTCCTTCTTGTTTTTTTTTTTTAAGTGAATTTTTTATTTTTTTAGATTTATTTATTATGTATACAGTGTTCTGAATGTATGCTTGCAGGCCAGAAGAGGGCACCAGATCTCATTACAGATGGTTGTGAGCCACCATGTGGTTCCTGGAAATTGAACTCAGGACCTCTGGAAGAGAAGCCAGTGCTCTGAACCTCTGAGCCATCTCTCCAGCCCCCATGGTCCTTCTCTTTATCCATATCTCTTGAGGCCTTTTGGAATAGTTTGGAAACAACTACAATAAAAAATGAAGTCTAAGATCAATATTCTGCTAGGACTCAAAAGGGGTTAAAGGCACATACTGAGAATATATATCATTAATAAGAAGCTCCTAGAGACCTTCTGAGTTATGTACTTTTGAACCAACAACCAATCTCCTTCAACAATTGTTCAGTAAGGGTTTCAAAATTTTTTCCTAACCTCAAATATGCTGTGATTTTATTGAAAAGTCAGTATTATAGCAATGTGAAAGAAATAGGCTTTCAATTATTTTGCTGAATGAGTACTGAGAACTATACCAAACAGATAATACAGGAACACAAAAATAGTAATAAGGACAATGAATGTTTGATATAAAGGGGAATGAAGCTCTACTGAGCAAGGGAGTCCTTATTGCTCAAGTTTTTCTTAAGAATGTAGCAGTTTAAACAACAACAACAAAAAAGAATGTAGCAGTGTGGGCTGGAGAGTTGGCTCAGCAGTTAACAGCACTATTGCTCTTAATAGAAGAACCAGTTTCAATTTACAGCATTTGCACAGTGCCTTTCAACTGTCTGTAACTCCAGTGCCAGGGGATACAACACCCTCTTCTGACTTTTAAGGGGACCAAGCATTGGTACACATAGGTGCATGTAGGCAAAACACACACATAAAAGAAAACAAAATAAAAACAAAAACCACCCCCCCCCCAAAAAAGCTAAGAATGCAGTAGTATCCAAGGATAGGTATACATGACAGAACCCTAATTTATATAGGACCAAAAGATAATGGAAAAAAAAAAGGAATGAGAAAAAGCGAATTCTTTGAAATAGACCTACTTCAGTGAAAACAGAAAAATGTCCCTTTTAATTTTAAAGCAGCCTCATAGCAGTATTAAAGTATTTTTAAAGTAAATCTTTATTCAATGATAGCTGAAATTATTACTATGTAATGATATTTAAAGATGAACATAGAACAAGTGTAGTCATATGCACAAAATTCACTAACATTCATTTTAATACAAGGGATATATTTCTCTTAATAATTCTTACCAGCCGGGCAGTGGTGGCGCACGCTTTTAATCCCAGCACTTGGGAGGCAGAGCCAGGTGGATCTCTGTGAGTTCGAGGCCAGCCTGGTCTACAGAGTGAGTTCCAGGAAAGGCTCCAAAGCTACACAGGGAAACCCTGTCTCGGAAAAAAAAAAAAATCTTACCTTTTCATAAATTTTTGTGATTTCTTCATTTGGGCTGAATACCAGCTGTAATCCCCCACATCCTGATGTCCAAATAATTTTTTGTATAGCTCTAATTACACAAATATCAGGCATGTATCTTGAAGCCTATAAAATAATAATTAAAACTGTTAAGACAACCATTGCACTCGCAAGTGTTTACAACAAAAGAAAAGAAAGCCAAATACTTGTATAGAATTTTCAAAGCAGTTTTGGTCACATCTGAAAGGGAAAAAACCCCAAGTATATTTTGCCAAATAAAGAAAGTATGGCATATTCATACTGGGAAAAATATATAGGTTTGTTTTATATATAAAAGATGTATTTGAGTGTATACATATTCTGGTGTGTGTGTGTGTGTGTGTGTGTGTGTGTGTGCGTGTGTGTGTGTGCATGCGCACGCGCGTGCTTTGGGGCAGTCTATGTAGCTTTGGCTGTCCTGGAAGTCACTATGTACACAAGGCTGGCCTACAACTCAGAGACCCACCTGCCTCTGCCCCTCAAGGGCTGGGACTAAAGATATGTGTCACCACAACCAGCTTATAAGAGAATCATATTTAACAAAAAGGAATGAACCATGGAGCCTTAGAACACTGACAACTCACAAAACATCATCAACTTGTTTTTTTTTTTCGCCTTCTATTTGTTATCCTTATGCTTCAGCCTCCCAAGTGATGGGATTATGTACTGGCACACAATCCAAATGATTAAAATTCAAGAAAATGAACACTTTTAACAGGGCGTGGTGACCCACACCGTTAATCTCAGCACTCAGAAGGAAAAGGCAGGAGGATCTCTGTAAGTTGGAGGCCAGCCTGGTCTACACAGTGAGTTCCAGGACAGCAAGGTTGTTACTCAGAGAAACCCTATCTTGAAAAACAAAAAAAACCAAAAGACAAAACAAAACAAAACAAAACAAAAACCCTCTTTTATAGGGACAAAACAAAACAAAAACCCACAGGGGAGAATTACAGAAATAATCTGTTTTAGGACTAAAGGTTTGAAACTTTGGATTTGATCTTGAGTCTCAACAACACAGAAAAAATATTCTGTGTACTGTTTATATGTATGTAAAAATGTATCGAACGTATATTTTGAAAAAACACTGTTTATTATACAAAAAGCCAATTAAAAATTTATGTACTACCCAGGTGGCAGTGGCACACACCTTTAATCCCAGACCTCAGGAGGCAGAGGCAAGTGCATCTCTCTGAGTTCGAGGCCAGCCTGGTTTACAGAGCGACATCTAGGATAGGCACCAAAACTACACAGAGAAACCGTGTCTTGAAATCTCCCTCCTCCCCAATTAACTAATAATATTATGTTGACATTAGGAAAACATTATCTAGACTGAACCAGTAAAACAAGTGAATTTTTAAAAAGTTCTTTTGGGATTGGAGCGATGGCTCAGTGGTTAGGATCACTGGCTGCTTTTCTAGAAGATTCAGGGTTCAATTCCCAGTATCCAAATGGCAGCGCAGAGCCATCTGTAGTTTTAGTTCTAGTTCTAGGGTATCCAAATACTCTTTTGGCCTCCAAGGGCATCAAGGCATGCAAGTTGTATACAGACATACATGTAGGTAAAACACAAATAAAATAAAAATTAAAAAAAGTGTACAGTAACACTTATGAAGCATTATGTATACACATCATAAGCTATTACATAAAATTATATCTATACTATATCATAAATATTATGTTTATTATTGATACATAATTTTGTGTAGTAACACATGATACATATACATATATATACATATATATAGACACATATATGTATATATACTACTCTTAAGACTACTAACCTCATCAGAAATCTGCTGAGCAAGACGAACAGACACATTTCTAAGCATGCATTCAGACGACGGATTAGGAATGCTCTGAAGGGCACTTTGTAGCACCACTGCTTGATCATGAGTTACTTGGTTGACCTGGAAAAAAAAAGTTAACCCTTTGAGTATTCTATATAAAACTTGACTCAAACATTTGTACCCTACTCATCAACATTCCATTAAAATGTTTTCTTTCCACATTCACACACAAACCACTCCATCTTGCCAACATGTCATCCAGGTAGGACAAATTTCTCTATATTCCCTTATTCTAGATTAATATAATCCACGTTTCTACAAACAGATCAAGTCCAATCTCATCTAAAGATTCAGTAAATCATGAATTTTTTTTACATGTGCACCCTTTGGGGAGACCCTGCTCCTAATCTCCAGTTATCAAATTTTACTTTGAAAATGAGAAAAATTAGGAATATAAAAAAAATAAAACATATAAAAGATAGCAGCTTTTTTTATTTTATTTTATACTATATTTTATATTAAATACTATTTTATTTAATAGTATACTAAGATTTTTAATCAACGAGAAACAGAAGTAGTTAGCTGAATAATTCTGTCTTTGAGTTCTAACTTCTATGTCTTGTAAATGTTTAAGATATCTCTATATTAAGTGTTTTTTGTGTTGTTTTTTTTTCAAGACAGGGATTCTCTGTGTAGCTTTGCGCCTTTCCTGGATCTCCCTCTGTAGACCAGGCTGGCCTTGAACTCACAAAGATCCGCCTGTCTCTGCCTCCCAAGTGCTGGGATTAAAGGCGTGCACCACCAACACACAGCCTACAAATACTTGACAATTATAATATACACCCACAAATACTTGACAATTATAATTATAATACCTTAGTATCTGCAACTCACAAATGGGATATTCTCTGAGTATTACAGGAAAGATAGAAAAGAAGTGTGTTAGTGGCTTTTGTGTGTATTATATGTCATTAAGTAGTCATGTCATGGATTAAATTAAGAATCTGTTTTATCCTAACAAGAGCCCTCCCTTACTGGGTGAGATACAGGGTCTCTATTAAAGCCCAGCGGCTCTAAACTCTGGGCTTTTCTCCTGCTTTGTTTGTGTCCTTCCAAGTGCTGGTAAGAAGAACACCACATCTGTGTTTCCTTTTAACCTATTAAGAATTGCATTAAAATATATGTATTATGTATGTATATATATACATAATTTAAATAATTTTTATGGAAGTTTGCTCCTTTCTTTAGGTCTGCTTCTGAAAATATGTAGCCCAGTATGGCCTTAAACTTCCAACATACCTGGCTGCCTTACAGAAAATATCTAATATATGAAAGTGGTCAGAATAAGATAATACAACTTATCTCAAAGTGCTCATTATTCTGCAAGTATTGTCAATTACCTAATTACTCCCTCTCACTTTCCATCTCCATTGCTCTTTAATCTAGGATTGCTGTTAGGCAAAATCTTGGGTATCATGAAACTTCATTTATAGCTGGGCAGTAAGTAGTGACACACACCTTTAATCCCAGCACTCAGAAGGCAGAGGCAGGTGGATCTCTGAGTTTGAGGTCAGCCTGGTCTACAGAGCGCTTTCCAGGACAGCCAAGACCACACAGAAAAACCCTGCATCAACCCCCCCCCAAAAAAAACATGATCTACAGAATACATTCTAGGACAGTGAGGGCCACACAGAGAAATCCTGTCTCGAAAACCAAAACAAACGAATAGGAAAAAAAACCCAAAAAAACACAGAACAACAATAAACAACAAAAACCCAGAAACAACTAAAACAAAAACAACCTCAAAAAACCAAAACCCATCACTTCATTCATAAATTATTTTGGGAAATATTTCAGAAGAAGGTTCTTCCTTTAAATATCACAGTATTATATTTGAAACAATTACATATCATAATCACCAACACTCCATTCCTCCCCAATTATGATCTACATAATTTCTTTTTTTTTTATTATTTTATTTTTTACAATACTATTCAGTTGTACATAATAGCCCTAGATTCCCTTGTTCTCTCCCTTCCTGCCCCCTCCCCTTCCCCCCAGCCCACCCCCCATTCCCACTTCCTCCAGATCAAGGTCTCCTCCGAGGACTGGGATCAATCTGATAGACTCAGTCCAGGCAGGTCCAGTCCCCTCCTCCCAGATTGAGCCAAGTGTCCCTGC